TGGAGCGCGCGCGCGGACAGGCGCGGCGTCGAGAAGGTCGCCCTCCCGCCCAGCGCCGCGAAGGTCGAGCTGCAGAACGGGTGGCGCTGGGGCCGCGAGACGGCCGCGAGATGCCGCGGGCTTCGAGTGGATCTCGAGAAGAAGGTGAAGGTTGCCACGGGGGGGCTCGGCAAGAAAGGCGCCCCAGCCCGGGGGCGCGGCCGCCCGAGCCGCAGCGGGCACAAGAGCGCGGGCGCCGGGCAGTCCCGCGACCTCCCCGGCATGGTCACCGCCAAGCGCCCGCTCGAGGGCGCCATGCGCCGCCCGGGGTGCTGCTCTAAGCGGGGGCGCGAGCGCGGCCACGAGGTCGAGATGAAGACTACCCTGACGCGGCTGCTTTACAAGTTGGCTCTCGAGCAGGACGAACAGCTCCACCTGGAGAGGGTCGGCCACGAGAGCTACGGCGCCGAGGTCCACAGGCGGGTGACCAAGCGCATGAAGACCTTGCAGGCCAACCAGACGTGCAAGAAGGACATGAAAGGGGGTGGACGAGTTCGCCACCCCGAGGCTGCGCGCGAGCGGGCGCCAGGGCCAGCGCCTCTCCGACCAGAGGCTTCAGTCGTTCAGCAAGGAGAAGGCCAAGCTGACCTGGGCCACGGCCGACAGGTTGTATTAGTAGTAGCAGCAGTTCTTCGTAGTGGTCGTAGTAGTAGTAGTAGTAGTAGTAGTAGTAGTAGTAGTAGTAGCAGCAGTAGTAGTGGTAGTCGTGGTAGTCGCAGAAATTGCAAGAACTGAGGTGTCCTACGATTGCCCCTGCAACTACTAATGAACCTACTGCCAAGTACTACTTCTACTACTACTACTTCTTCTATGATTTTGTATTACTACTACTACCACTACGACTACCACTTGTACCACGAGCACTACTAGTAACTACTTGTAGCTATTGCCACTCGCAGAGACTGGCACTATTAGTAACTCTCTCTACAGCTACAACACATGCTACTAGCTACTCCTAGTAGTAACTATTATTACTACGATTAACTACTACTTCGGGCCAAACTGAGTACTACTACTACTACTACTACGACGACGACGACGACTACTACTACTATTTTTAGTACTACTACTACTACTACTACTACTATTATTATATTACTACTACAACTACTACTATTACTACTACGACGATTACTACTACGACTGGTTTACCTCCAGTAGGTTCGTGCACCTGGTGGCGAGGGGCGGTTTCGATGACCTTGGCCTCTTCGTCGGGGGCTCCGAGACTTTCGCCCAGCAGAGTGCCGGCGCGCGCGTGGTCGTCGTGGACGCCGCCGCGCTCTGGCCCAAGCTCGGGGGCGAGGGGGGCGCGCGCATCTGCGAGGGCGAGATCTACGCCACAGGCGCCAAGAGACGCATCCATAACCTCCGTCGCAAGTGCCGCCAGACGCAGACCGAGGAGGGCAAGGCAAGGCAGCCTTCGGGTCCGAGGGCCAAGCATGTGGCAGAGCACCCCGGCCAGGAGGAGCGAGTGGACCAAGCCTACTCGAGCGGAGGGGGCACGTGCAGGATCGCCCTCGTCAACGCCACCGCAATCGAGGGCCGGTTCGACCCATGCAGGGGGCCCAAGTCCGCCAAGAAGCGCAGCGTGCCCTTCGCCCCCTGCGCGAGGCGCTGCCGAGTGAGCGACGCGAACCTCGAGGAGGGCACCTGGCGGCGCGACGATGCCTGCGAGCGGGGCGACGGCGAGGCGGGGCGCTTCCGACCAGGCGAGCCCCTAGGAACATTGCTCAAGGGCCAGCGCAACGCTGTGCTCGAGTCTTCCGAAGCGGAACGCGCGATGGTCTTCGAGGCCATCAGTGTGTGGGGGCGGCCCAGGCCCTGGACGGACGTGCTCGTCGCTTCCTGGACCATCGACTTCGTTGAGCAGCAGCGCGGCCAGGGCCTCGTGATTGCAGACTGCCTCTCGAGCCAGTGGACCGAGGCATTGGCGCTCCGAGCGTGGCTCGAGAATGTGATCTGCGCGCCCGTGACCCCCCGACGTCGCGGGCTTCCTGCGGGGGCCGGACGCCAGCAAGCACAGCCGGCTCAAGGCCAGGCCACGATCCGAGAGGCCAAGGCCGAGATGCATTGGGCCATGGAGCAGGAGTGTATCCAGGAGGCCGTGCCGAGCCCCAGATGCTGTGCAAGTCCCCGACCAAATGGGGCCCCTACGAGTGCGTCAACTGCGTCTCCGAGGCCTGCGCTCGCTCCCGCGAGAAGAACAAGGACGCGGTGCCGCTCCAAGGGCTGCAAGCGAACCACGTGCTCGTGGTCTGGCCGACAGTGCAGGGCGAGCTCAAGGACGTCGCGGGCATGGAGGGGTGGAGCTACCCCATCGAGCCCGGCCGCGGCGTCGAGCCGAGCCCGGCGAGCGATCGCCTGGAGTGCATGCAGTGGTGGCCCGAGGGCGCGCCGCCCGCGACCGAGTGGAGCGCCTTCGACGGGAAGTGCTTCCACCGCGGCGACTTGCCCAAGGATTGCGAGCAGGGCGAGAACCCCTGCCTCCTGGAGCTCCGAGAGCTGGACCTCGAGCTCGCCGGCGAGCGGAAGGACGTGCTCATAGCGCCAGAAGAGCAGATCAAGGAGATCCAGTTCCCGCGCGCCTTCGAGAACCGATCCAAGCTGGCGCGACTAGCAGCTCGCAAGAGCAGGTGGCCGTCCAAGTTCTCGGGCTAGTTCTCGGGCAAGCTGCGGCGCGGGTGGCGGCGCGCGAAGGGAGAGACTGGCGGCGATGCCTTGCTCGAGCACCTGAGCCGAGACGTGGCCGAGGCGAAGCTCACAGGCAGGCCGCCGACGGCCAAGGCGAGCGTCTCCCGGGAGTTCACGGCCAAGGCGCAAGCGCAGAATAACGCCGAGAAGAAAGCGAATACCAAGGCGAAAACAGGCCTCGAGGCTTGCGAGGGCCCCACCCCCTGGCACGGCAAGGTGGTCTGTGTCGCCGAGGAGGGAATCCACGAGAGCAGGCGCGGCAGAGTGGAGGACGTTTGGCGGGCCCCGGGCACCGAGGGCGCGCTCCGCCCGCGCGCCCGCGAGGTGGGGGCCGCGGCGATCGCCCAGATCGACAGCAGCGAGGCTCAGAGGCTCACAGGCAGTCGCGAGCTTCCGCCCGCTTCCGACTGGGGCGGCGGGCGCAAGCGGGAGCCAGCGGAAACCGCGGAAGCGACGGCGGAAACGGCGGATGTCGGCGGAAAGTTGGCGGCGGAAGCGACGGCGGAACCTTGAATCCGCGGGGCGGAAGCAGGCGGGGGCCGACGAGTGCCATCCTGAGCGCCGCAGGTCACGATCGAGCAGGACTACATGTTCCCCAAGCCGCGCAAGTTCGACTGGCGCCAGACCAGACTGGCTCGCCGCACCGAGCCCGCCAAGGAGTACGCGATCATGAACTGTGAGCAGGTCGTCAAGGGCGACGTCCTCGACCTGGGCGCAGCGCGCGCGCTGCTTGGCGAGATCGAGGAGCGCGCGGGCGTCCCCGAGACCGTTCTGGCGGTTGAGACCGCGGTGGCCGTCGCCCGGGCTTGGGGGGGGGCAGGGCGAGGGCGAACCCGCCGCCCAGCAGCCCCGAGGAGCAGAAGCGCTGGGCCGAGAGCCCGCGAGGCCGAGCACGTCCTGACCTGCGTGCGCTCCGAGGCACCCGCGCACTACGCCTACCTCGAGGTCGGTGGTTGACGCAGTTGTCCCTGCCCCAAGGTGCCCCCAGTTTTGCTCGCCCCGTTTTGGGGCGAATCCTGGCGGCGCCCCGGGCAGGGGGCACTTGTGGCGACGCCCGCCGAGGTTTCGAGGATCGGCGGGGTTGTCGCGGCGGAGTGCCGCGATGGGGAGATCGCAGATCATCGGGGGCGCTTGGTTGCGCGGCCCAATTTGCATGGTTCAATGCGTGCGTTGCTATCTGCACGGCGCCAAGCAACGCGCAGCAATGCATAACAAAACGAGTCAACGCAAGCCAATGCAAAGCAATGGGCGCACATGCAAATTAGCTGAACTAAGCCAAACCAATATCATGCGATGCGAAGCTTGCTATGCGAACGGGATGGTGGTGCAAGGGCGCTGCGACGACGGAGACGACGGAGGAGAACGAGGCCGCAGGGCCAACATGCGTGCGCCGTTTCTTTTGAATGGCACCGAAAACCCTACGTGCACACATTTTTGGGGGAACTTATAGCCATAACCACTTGTAATTTGAAACGCGCGTCGAGGATCGAGCGTGGATTTGCCGCGTGATGCACTCAAGTAGATAAACACACAGCATAATTTTTGACCAATTATGCGCGGCGCCCCAACGATAACACGTTTCTGCAATCGCACGTTTTCCATTCCATCGCACCGTCCCTGCGCAGGGATGGCACGCACAAGTCCTGAAGGTGCAGCCGATCGTCGCCGCCCTGTCATCAGCGCCAACATCTGCATCACCACCGCCGTCGCCGTTTGTCACCGCCACCAGGACCACCACCGACACCACCACCACAATCCCCAGTGTCAGGGGTGGACCTAAACGGTGTTTGGCGTTCTCGTGTGCCGTTTTCGTTTCGATGTCGTTTTGCAGCAAAGGCGAATTCAAGACAAAACGGAGAACAACGACAACAAAACGAAAACGAACAACACTGTTTAGGTCCAACCCTGCCCAGTGTCATTCTGGGGCAGTCGCGATTCAGCCCACTTGTTTGGCCTGGATCGTGTGTCCGCGCCGCCGACCCGCCGCGTCAAGCCTGGGCCCCGCGACGGTGCGGGCGGGGCGCTGCCAGCTTTAAGTCGGGTTTGTCCCTCTCCAAGAGGACTGTTCAAAAATAGCCGAAAAATAGTTTGGGGACCGTATTTATATGTCTTTTTCGAATTACTTTGGGGTATTTTTTGAGTATTCTTTATTTTTCGCCCAAAATCCGCCTGTAGGGGGACATGCCCGACCTAATGCCGGATCCGAACGTCGCTGCCGCCGCTAGCTGTGGGCGCTGCGCGGTGCAGGCGCCACAGGGGGCAGGCGGGCGATGGCGGTGATGCAGCCCACGGACGTTGCTTTCGAGACCCACCTCGAGTTCCTCACCAGGGCTCTGGACCTGCAGACGAGCCTGGTGCGGAGCGCCCTCGACCTGCACCCGTCCGCGTCGCTCGTTGACTTCCGGGAGGCGGCAGAGGACGCGATCAGCAAATTTAATTTTGCGATCGGCGATCTCCGATCTGACCTGAATTCTGTGGCCACCGCTCTTGCAAGCTCCGGGGAGCCTCCTACGGGGACCGTCGAGGCTCAGTCGAGCAGATCCTGTTTGAGACCACGGGCTGCGTCAACCATCGGCCTCCCCGCGAAGCGTGCCTCGATCGACAGCGAGCCGGAAAGTCTCCCGTCTGGAGACGCATCCCATTTGCGCAACGTGTCTTATGCGCGGGCTGAAACGGACACCGACCGCGTCCCCCAACGCAAGTCTAGCCGCAAGATGACCCCCGACTCAGAAATCGTCGGGGCTGTAAGCCCCGACTCAGTCGTTGCCAAGTCGACGACAGAAGCAAGAGTAAGCTACTCGAGGAAGGCCAAAAAGGCAAATGAAGCACCGTGCATCAACGGCGTATTGAACCCAGATTGGCCTGTGAGGCTAGCGTGGGACATGCTGGTCATCCTCCTGGTCCTGTGCGACAGCGTTGTGATCCCAGTTCAGCTGGCCGAATTCCGCACGTCGCCAGGGTTCGATGACGTCTGGCTCTGCACAACGGTCAGCATATTTTTTTGCGACCTGGTCTTGAATTTCTGGACTGGCTACCAAGGTGACATGAAGCAGGGACAGGAGAAGCAATTGGTCACCAGTAAGGCCATGATTGCAATCCACTACCTCCGTGGATGGTTCTGGATCGATTTTTTGAGCACTGTGCCATGGAACGTCATCGCTGGTGCTCTCAAGCCGAAAAGTGAGAAGAACACAACTTCGGACGGCCTAAAACTCGCAAAGGTCGTCAAGCTCATGCGGCTTCTGAGGCTGATGAGGATGCTGCGTCTCTGCAAGATCGGCGTTATTTGGGAGCGCCTCGAGGCCCGGATCGGGTCCATCACTGCACTCAATGTGGTGAGCATGGTGAAGGTCCTTGGCATTTGGACCGCTATCTGCCACTGGGGCGCCTGCATTTGGTGGATGGTCGGCAAGAGGGACAGTCTGGTGATGCTTCTGACGTTCCAGGACAACGATCCAGAGGCGCTCCACTGGACGGAGCTTCCCCGCGTGCACAGCCCTTATGATGGATTTGGACAATGGGCGTGGGTCGACAGGCCTGTGTCTGAGCAGTACGTCTTTTGTTTCTACTGGGTCCTTGGAGTGATGCGTACCATGCCAGCGGAGGTCACGCCCGTCAACCTGACGGAGAGGCTCTTTGTCCTTGTTTTCATGTTCTTCGCTGTCATGGCTTTCGCCGTCAACGTCGCGCGCATCACGCAGGCGTGGTTCAAGTTCAGCGCGCGCAAGGACGCGTTCAAGGAGGAGATGGTCCACGTACGCGCGCACCTGCGATCGATCAGCTGTGACTACAAGCTGCAGCAGCGCACGCAGGCATACCTGAACCACCTCTTTGAGAAGAGGAAGCTCCACGCCAAGGATGCCAGAAGAGATACATGTATACACATAACCTGTCGGAGGTCTGCGCGGATCCCTCAGATCGGCACTGCATCCTTCTTGCGGCGCCTCCAGCGCCGCTGCTGGCGCGTCGCGTCACAAAGGGAGAGGGGTGCACCTCCGAGCCAGGAGGTCTTATGTGGACCTCCGAAAGGTTGTGCCTGTTCCGAGCCGTCCCTTTCTTCTGGAGGAAATGAGCCTGCTGAGCGTCCTTCCCGAGGGGCTGAAGCGGAAGCTGAACGAGGCCCACCGGATCCACTTCATCGTGATGATCCCACGGGTCCGAGAGCTGAGTGAGGCAGTCTTGCGACGCGTCTGTCATGCCACGGAGGTTCTAGACTACCTGCCTGGCGATAAGGTCACGGAAAAGAACAAGGACGCAGAGGCCGCGTGCAGACAAACAATATGGTCAATCAGTTCTGCATTCGTTACGTTTCGCGTACCCACAGAAGCCCGTTCGGAAACCCTGCTAATGAGAGTTGAATTGGAAATGGACGGAGAGACACAGATAGTGAAACAGAGCGGGCAGCCAGGGTGCCTCTTTGGGCCATCCCTGGGGCCCGCGTGGGAGCGAGGGAAGGAGGAGGAGGAGGAGGACGACGACGACGACCACGATGAGGAGGAGGAGGAGGAGGAGGAGGAGAAGGAGGAGGAGGAAAACGAAATGGAAGACAATGAGGGTAAGGACGAGGACGAGGGGGGAGGATGAGGGGGAGAAGGAGGAAAAGGACAACGAGGACGAGGACAGAGCCCTCAAAATCGCCTCTTGCAGTCCTCTTGGGACTCTTTAAGGGATATTGGGGTCCTCTTGGGGCTCTCTTGGGGAGTCTTCGGGTCCTCTTGGGGCTCTCTTGGGGGCTTGTTGTGAGCCCGTGAGGGCCTCTTGGGCTTATCGCGGAGGGCGTTGGTGAATAGAGAGGGGGTCGTATCTTACCCCTCCCCCCCTGGGGCCATCAACATCGCCTCTTGAGGCCCTCTTGGGGCGCTCCTGGGCCGCTCTTCGGCGCTCTTGCGGGCGCCTGGGGGGCCTCTTTGGCCCCTCTTGGGCCTCTCTTGGGTCATCTTGATGCCTCTCACCGCATCGGCATCGAACAGGCGGGATGTCAAACGTAATTGATTTTTCCTTAAGCGTTTGAAGAGTTTGGCCTCTTAGAGGGGTCTTGAGGGGAATCCGAGAGCACTTGGAACCGTCTTGTGGCCCTCGTCGGGCTTTTTGAGGGGTCTTGGGGCATTCCTGAAGCTCTCTTGGAGCCCTCTTGGGGATTCCTCTGGAGCCCCTGGGGCGCCTCTTGGGGTCATCATGGAGGCCATCGATGAAAAGGGGGTGGCCCGATTTGCCTTCACCTAGGTCCATCAAAATCGCCGAAGTGAACCGAACATCGCCGAACTGAACCCAACACCTGATTAACACCAGTGATTTTGGTGCTCTCCCCGATGCCATCTTGGGCGCCCTAACACTCCGGGAACCCTCCAAACACCTCAGGGAGGGGGGAGGTAAACCTCCTTCGAAGGAAGAGTTGTTTGGAAGATGAAGTCAAGAACTGGTTCGATCAACTTAGCCCAGAGAGCTGGTGGTATTCATTTGACACGCATTCGTCAAATTCAAGCAATAACAATAACACAGCGGAGGCGGCGTACGTAGTCATGAGGGGCGGCGTCGAGGTCTACGTCCCGACGATGCTGAAACGGTCTCTGAGCAAGCTCAGCAAGCTCAGCGACTTTAGCAATCTGAGCGCCCGGAACTCCAGGCCTCCCAAACGGGGTTCGAGCAGATGGGGTTGGAGAATCGCGCCGCATCGCCGATGCATCGGCGATGCGGCCCGATGCGAAGCCCGATTTCCTCCACGCCGACGTCGCCGATGTATCGCCGATGCGGCGCGATCCGCCGAGCCCATCTTTTTCGGTCCTATCTGGGCGACGTGCAGGAGCGACGCCCTAACGGTCGTGGACGACCATTGCCTCTTCGAGCTAGGGGAGAAGACTCCGAGCAGGAACACCGTGCTGGCGGTGGAGTGCTCGGAGCTGCTGCGCGTAGACCGCAAGGGGTTCCAGGAGTCGAAGATGAAAACTGGCATAAGCAGATTTCCGTGTTTGGCAGCGGACCCCCTCCCTCGCTGGCGCGCGGACCGCGCCAGGGGCAGCGCTGGAGGTGCCGCCGGGTGGCTCGAGCGCAGATCCACGAAGTCCGCGCGGAGTTCCGAACGTTTCTGCTCCCACTAGCGTTTCGCTGGATGATTCCATTAAGAGGTAGAAAAGGACCGAGCACAGAAGACCACACGAGGGACGGGGGAGCCCTCGACCGCCCGGTCCCGCGGCAGTCTCGCTTGAAATGTCCCCATTATTTATTCAGTAATCGTGCGCTCGCCTCGATACCGACTATATGCTCGGTCCAGGCGGCCACGATGCGTTTTGAGCAAGACACCAGGGGCGCATGACCGTGCGGTGCCCAGGAGTCCCCAGGAGTACCTGCGAATGCGCAGGCTTTCACTCGCCGACCTCCACTCCTTGACCCGCCTCTTCACCCTCGCTGTCACGAGGGTGCATTTCTGTAGTACAGTCGAGCCGGATTAGTAGGTCGACCCTGCCAAATCAAGGTTACTCTTGTGTCCTGTGCCTCGCGACCCATGCTTCTATGTTCAGATGGGAGTGTGGCCCTCGGAAGAGTCTTGTGTCCTCTCGCGTGTCCTCTTCAGTCCACCCCGACTGTACGTATCTTCCTCGCAGGAGATAGTGCTGGCGCATGGCCCCAGCGCCGAGCTGCTCCGGCGGCGGCGCGTCTCGGAGTTGTCGGCCTGCACGAGCGTCAGCAGCTTCGCGGCAGGGACCCCGATCGTCGACGAGCCCACCAGGAAGAGCCCGCACGGCCCGGCAGTGGAGCGCTTCCTGAGCAGTAACTCCTTCGCCCAGGACCTCCGAGGGGGGCCCCTCAGCCCCAACGCCGAGCCCACCCTGGCGGGGGCCTCGTTGGCGAGGATCCCGCTCGACGACGAGGAGCAGGAGGGCGGCGTCGGAGGCATGCGGCAGGCCCCCGGCTGGGCAGCAGAAGGGGCGTGCCTCCGCCCCGCCCCACGGGTGGCCCATCTGTGGAGGCCTCTGGAGGCGCTAGAGGAGCACACCACGCCCGAGGCCTCCGTCCTCGCTCGACAGAGGGAGGAGGAGGAGGAGGAGGAGGAGGAGGAGGGGGAGGGGGAGGAGGAGGAGGAGGAGGAGGAGGAGGGAGGAGGAGGAGGAGGAGGAGGAGAGGAGCTGGAGGAGGAGGAGGAGGAGGAGGAGGAGGAGGAGAGGAGGAGGAGGAGGAGGAGGAGGAGGAGGAGGGGGAGGAGGAGGAGGAGGAGGAGGAGGAGGAGGAGGAGGAGAGGAGGAGGAGAGAAGGAGGAGGAGGGGGAGGGGGCAGCAGGGCATCCGTGAGCTCCTGCGGGCTCGGCGCCCTTGCCTGTTGATTTCAAGTCGGGCACGTCCCCCTGCAGGAGGGATATTTTAAAAGAGTTTAAAAAATGGTCAGGGGACCATTTTTTGGGGATGACTGTTCTTGATTATTTTTGAGTATTTGTTTGATTCTTGTCATTGTTCGCCCAAAATAGGGGGACATGCCCGACCTAAGTCTGATCGAGAGCCTTGGGAAGGGGGTCAATGCAAACGGGGGGCAGCCACAGCCAGAGCGTGGGATCTTGCAGGATCCTGCAGAGCCAGGGGTGCACTGATCCGGGCTTGCGTGCAGGATCGTGCAGGATCCTGGGTCCATCTCGATCCGATCGATGCGGCCCGATGTTGATTCCAGCCGGCCCTGCCAGGTTCGGTTCCGACGATCCGATGCGGGCCGATGCTTATACATGGCGCCGCTGCGCATCTCGGCGCAGCCGAGCCGATCCGAAGTCGACCCCCCACCGTTGCAGCTCGATCCGACACACATGGCACATGTCGATCCGATCCGACTTTCCCATTCGATGCTCACTAATCTGCCTTCGGTGGCGCTTTGTCGAATCCCTTCTTCGAGAGACCCCTCTAGCAGCCTAGGCCTTCGGCTCGATTTGATCGCAGACCTCGCGACCCAGTTTGACACAAAACGAAGCAAACTATCGTTATTTGGCGGTCCCAGGGGCTTTGACAGAAGTCCCCTGCCTGAGATTGCGAACTTGTCGATGCGATTTTCGAGTCGCTGGGGGGTTGGGTCAGGATTGCTTAGTACGAATGTAACTAGATATATTTGTGGAGCGTTCTGGAAAGCTCTTACAGCTCTTGGGATTGCTCTGGAACGTCCTCGACGCACCATACATCCTGCATGCCCACCAGCTCTCAGATGTCCCGAGCTATCTCTGCCCGAATTTACCATTTATTCAAAATCCCTTATTAATCGACCCCTCCCCTCCAAAACCCACAAAACCGGACCCCCTCCAAATGCGACCTAATATTCTGGGCCCTCCTCTTCGACGGGGCGCATTAATAAAGCGTACCCCCTGAGCTCCAATCCACAGAAAGCGTCATAATAAACCGGACCCCCCCAGTTACAAAAAGGCGCCTTAAGAATCCAGACCCGGGGAACGATTAAGAAGGGACTTGGAATACCTGCCTCCTGCCGTGGTCCCATCCGGAACCCACGTCAAACTGGCCGCCAGGCGAGCGGTGCCAAGCAGCAGCACTTGCGGATGAGAGCGAGGGGGCGCTTGGATTGCCTTGCCAGTGCTGTGGGGCCCAAGTTTGGCAGCGCAGCGTGCGTGGGTCGCAGTGAGGGGCGTCGGCGGAGCTCGAGGCTCACCCTTCTGCCGGCACAACCAGGTACACCACGGGCGTTTGTTTCTTGGCATGCAGTGAAGGGGGGTGGGTCACGAGTGTGTCGCGTGCGTGGGTCATTGGCGAGGGTCGCGGACACTGGCTGCGGGCGTGGGTCTCAGACCCGGGCCGCGGGCATGGGTCGTGGGCTAAGTCGCGGGTGGGTCGCGGGATGGGTCGCGGGATAGGTCTCGGGGCGGTCGCGGGGGCCACGACGACGACGACGACGATGTCAAAATTCAACAGCAGGAGTCGGCATCGCGGTTTCCACTTCAGCCACGCACCCAGGGACAGTGTAAGGCCGGGCGGCCCCTCACTCCGATGAGAAAGTGGGGACGACTCGACGACTGCGCCGACATTCGCGCGTGCGCTGCCTGCCTGCAGCGAGGTCGCGCGTGAGCGTCCTCCTCCCCGCGCGGTTGGGCCGCGCTGGCGGCCCGCGCAAGCCACCGCGCGAGGTCGCTGCGCCCTGGCGCGTAAGGCCCCTGTCTCCTCGCTGCTCAGGTGGAGAGTCTGAGGCCGTCGATGTCGAGGCGCCTGTACGGGCTGGGGAGCTTCCGGGAGTGGCAGCACGTCTCGGCCGGCCAGCTCGAGGCCGTCGGCTAGAAAAACACGGCCGACCAAGGCGGCCACTCCGCAGCGTTCTCGCTCTGGGTGTTCCCGCCGCTGCAGAGGTCGGTGCCGCAGTTTGCAGGGTTGGCGGGACGGGCATATGACCACAGCATCTGCTTCTTGTTTGCGCCGCCTTCCAGCCGGCCCCAAAAAAAGCAGTGGTTGTGGTAATTTCCCTCGTGCCCAGCTCAACGAAAATGACCACAACGGCTGCTTTCTTTCTGCTGGCTGGAAGGCGGCAACAAAAAAAAAACAGTGGCTGTGGTCGTTTTCGCGTCCCGTAAGGGTTGGCGGCACGACGCGTTTCACCCAATTCGATGCCAGCGCACCTGCGGTGCACATGGCTCTCTTTTTCTGCCTTTCTCTCTCTCTCTCTGCTTTTCCCTGGCATGAAGCGGGTCCTACGGGGAACGGGTCCCAGAGTCTCTTCTCTGCGTCCTGCCTGGCCCCTCCCTGGGCCCTGGGACCGTCAGGGAACGATTCAAGGTGGAAGGTCCTGGGGAAGGCCCGTGGGGGCAGGACCCGCTCCCACCATCGGCGGCGAGCGAGGGGGGGAAGTGAGAAGGAGCGAGCCTTCTCAGAAGGCGCGGAAGCCCCCCGGCCTTTGAGAAGTTTTCTGAGCCTTCTCCGAAGACACAGGACACCTCTCAGAGGGCGCGAGGGCTTCTGAGAAGTCCCGCCGCCTTCTGAGTTGGCCCTCCCCTTCTCGCTTCCCCCCCTGGCTCGCTGCCGACACCAGCACCCGCTTCTTCCAGAACACACATTCCGTCAATTGCTGACTCTGGGGACTTCCCACGGTCAGCAGACCGGTGCTAGTTTTAGGCCCAGCCGTTCTTGGCTGCTCGACACCAAGGCTTTCGGGCCAGCTTGCGTCTTCTGATGGCCCCGTCGCCAGTGGCCGACGCCAAGTTGGCGGCGTCCTCTACAGCTTGCCACACGCCCAACCAAAGTCACCGTCGTCATTGTCGTCTTCGCCGTCGGCGTCATCTGCATCTTCATACTCGTCATACCCTGCCGGGTCATGTCGTGGTCTGCTGGATGCCGCCAACACGTGTTGGCCGATGTTCGAACGATCTGGACGATCGAGCAGTTTCGATCGTTCACGGCTGACCGATTCGCACGGTGTCAAAAGCCAACGCCTGAGCCACCGCACCGTGACCCGCTGTGTCTCGTGGCCTCTGGCCCGCCACCACGGCTGGGTCCCCGCGCAGCGGCCCCTCGGATGCCTCCTTGGGGCCTCTTGGAGGCCTCTCCGAGGGGGGCCACCTCTTGGGAGCCTCCCGAGCCCCCGTGGGGAGCCTCTCGAGGCCTCGTGGGGGCCTCTGCACTGGGGTCCTCTCGGGTGCGCCTCGGGCTCCTGCTGGCGGAGGGCGGCCCTGCGTTCCGCTCCGGGGTCTCCCCTTGGGTCTCCCGAGGGGGGGCCGTGGGCCCCCCCTTTGGGCGGCCGAGGGGCCGCTCTGGGGCGGACGCGGGATCCTCGCGGGCCGTGCCGGACGCTCTGCGGGACCGGCGAGGCGAGGTCAGGCCACGCGTGCGTCCCCCATGCTCTCGGAGTGGTTTTTCTGTGGTTGCCTTCGTGTGGCGTTTCCGCCTCGCCCTCGCCTCCCTCGCTCGCCCTCGCTCGCCCTCGCCTCCTCCCTCCCGCCCGCTCACGCTCGCAGGCCGGACCCGCTCGCACTCGGACTCGCTCGTGCTTGGGCCTTGCTCGCGCTGCGGCTCAGCGACGCTCACGCTTACTTGCGCTCAGACACACTCGCACTCAGACTCACTCGTACTCAGACTCTCTCACACTTAGACTCACTCGCAATCAGACTCACTCGCACTCAAACAAGCTCACTCAGACCACTCAGACTCTTTATACGCTCACGAACAGCTTCGGCAGATTCCGTCTCCGTCATGCTCAGACCTTTGGCAGTCGGACTCGTTCACATTCAGACAACCACTCAGGTTATTTATGCTCAGGCACTGGCAGAACCAACATTCAGACAACCACTGGCATTCACACTCAGGTTATTTATGCTCAGACTTCAGACTCACTCCGATCGTGGATCGCTTGGTGTTGCACATGCCCGTTCGTGGCCAGGCTGTGGGGATGCGTCAAGCGAGGCGCTCGTTTGGCCTCGCCGACTCTCGTGTTTTGAGAGCAGGTTGTGAGGATGTCTCGAGCGAGGCATGTGTTTCAGCATTTCAGCACCTACTGTGTTGCACTTGCTTGCTCGCGGCCAGGTCGTGGGGATGTCTCGAGCGAGGCGCTCGTTTTACGTCGCCGACCCTCCTGCTGTGAAAGCAGGTCGTGAGGATCTGTCGAGCGAGGTGCTTGCTCTAGCACCCAATGTGGGGGGGGGGGGGGCGCCAGGAGGTGCTGCACTGGCCCGTTCTCGGGAGCGTCTCGAGCGAGGCGCTCGTGTGACGCCGCCGGCCCTCGTGATTTGGCAGCGGATTGCAACGGGCGTCTCCAGCGAGGCGCGTGCTATATCAGCACGAACGAAATCGGTACGGAAACAATCGGTGCAATGCCCAGCAGCAGTTCCTGTTCATTTTGAGCAGGGCTCGCTGTCCGCGCCGCCGCGGCCCGCGTCCATTTGAGGCAGAAGGCCGCCCGTTCAACAGCGGCCGCGGTTGGTCTGGGACAACACTTGTCGTTGGGCACTGTGTGTGCCCAACTCTTCCGTACAGTACAGTCGGGGCCCTGAAGAAGGAACCCTTTTCGTTGGGGAGGGGCCCCGTGTTCCTTAATTGTTTCGCAGTTTGCTTTGGATCTTCTTTAGGTTTTCGATGCGAGATCGAAGTTCAACTTCTGGAAAATAGGGGCCTCGTTCCTTATTTAGGGTTCCTTAGGTCAACGCCTCGACTGCACCCGTTTCGGGCGTCCAGGTTGTGGCACCCCAAGGGGGAGCGGCCAGGGGGCGTGACGCTCGCCCGCCCGTGGCCAGACCGTGGGGATGCCCCGGGCGGGCCGCTCGTTCTGCACTTCCCTTTGTTCCGCTCCACTCGGAGCCCCAGAAGCACTGTGAGATCCAGCAGGCTGCGGCCTCCCCACGTTCCACCGCTCGCGTCTGGGAAGCACGAAGACGCGAGCTGCGCATATGCCAGAGCGTGAATTGCCCACCCCGCTTCCGCTTCCAGGCAGAACCAAGTCATACCATACGCCTCCTCGTCAAGCGGCCTGACCAGTACATGCCGTAGTTTGGCATCGCTTGGTATCCCTTGGAAGCGAGGGTGGTCAAAAGCGAGGTAGGTTCGTTTGCCCCCTAATATGGGGATCTCCGCGTCGAGTAGCTTTGTTTGAGGCGTGGGCGGGGGTTTTGGGTTGGTTGTGCCTCTTGGACCGCCCCCCCCCCCCCCTGAGGGCATCCGAGACAGCCCAAGATACCCCCAAGGCGGCCGTGGGAAGGGCCGCTGGAAGCGCGCTGACAGCCTGGAGCTCGTGCCAGTTGTCCCGAGGCAGTTTGGACATAGTCAGGTGTGGATCTTCAGGAGCGTGTGCGAGCGCGCCTGGAATTTCTACCGTGGGAGGTCTGATTGGCCTCGCCTCGCCTCAAATTCCTCGGGCTGCGGGTATTGGCTCTTCGGATTTGCGGCCTTTGGTTTCGGGCTCGGTCTTCTGATTGTTTCGGAGTTCGCTTGTTCGGGTTTCTGGTTTCTAGCTTCGGTGTTCGGGCTTCGGTGTTCGGATTTCCCCTTCAGTCTTTGGATTGTTTCGGATTTCGGGTGGTCGTGCTTTCGGCTTTGGGGTTGCGGTTTTCGGGCACGCCTCGGTTTTCGGCCGTTCTGGTTTAGTTTTTCCGGTTTTCGGGTTTCTGGCTACGCTTTCGTATTGAGTCGGGGTTCTGGGTTCGGAGTGTCGGTGTTTTGGCCTTGGGTTTTCTGGCTCGGTTTTCGGATTGCGTCTGGTTTCAGCTCGGGTTTCGGACTTCGCATTTTCGGGCTTCGGTTTTTGGTCTCCGGGCTTCGTTTTTTGAGCTCTGCATGTTTCATGTTTTCTGGTTCTCCCGTTTCGGATCGTTTCGGTGTTCGGTTTCGGGTTTCGGGTCTTTGGTTTTCGGCGTTCGGGCTTTTGGCTTAGGGTTTGGGGTTGCTTTGGCCTTGGGTATTCGGTCTTCGGGCAGCCTTGGGAAGCCCAGGCAGCCTTAGGACGCCGAGGCAGCTCCAGGCAGCCGTTGAAAGCCTGGACAGCATCAGGCAGCTGCAAGACACCCAGGCAGGTTCAGACAACAGCTGGAGACCCAGGCAGCTTCAGGCAGCCGTAGGAAACCCAGGCAGATTCAGGCAGCCTTCGGAAGCCCAGGCGGCCAGAGGAAGCTGAGGCAGCTGTGGGAAGCCAAGGCAGCCGTAGGAAGGCAGCCGTAGGACGCCCAGGATCTTCAGGCTGCCGTGGGGCCACCGCAGGAAGCTTCAGGCAGCCGTGGGGCCGCCGCAGGAATCTTCAGGAAGCCGTAGGGCCGCCGCGGGAAGCGTCCGGCAGCCGTAGGGCCGCCCCAGGGCAGCCGCAACGGGAAGCCGCAATTGGTCGCCGCAGGAGGTCGCAACGGGCCGCAGGAGGCTGCCTGACGGCGCGCTCCTGGGATCACCGGTGGAACCCTTGGGAATCCTTCTGCAGTGGTGGTTGCAGTGGGATCAGAAGCAGAGCCCACTGGGAAGGAGATCCCATGGATCCGGAGCAGTGATTCCAGGGAATCTGGCCCCGTGCCCTCCCCGTCGAGGAGGACCCTCCGCCCTCTTTCGGCGGCGAGCGATGGGAGGAAGCGAGAAGTAGACGGCCTTCTCCGAAGGCGCCGGGACTTCTCAGAGGCCCCCTCGCCTTCCGATAAGCTTCTCGTGTCCTCGGGGAAGGCTCGGGACACTTCTCAGAAGACCGCGGCACTTCTGAGACTTCCGAGAAGGCCTTCTCCTTCTCGCTTCCCCCCCTCGCTCGTCGCCGAGTCCTTGTCGAGGAGAGCCCCCTCCTCCTGAGCAGGGCTGAACCCAAACGGTGTTTCTCGTTTTCGTTTTGTTTTCGTCTTCCCTCGTTTTGTCTTCAATCCGCCTTTAACGCAAAACGACATCGAAACGAAAACGGCCCACGAAATCGCCAAAACACCGTTTAGGTCCACCCCTGCTCCCGAGGATCCTCCAGCACCCTCGGTGCGCCCTCGAGCCCCCCCGCCTTGCCCCCGCCTCTGCCGGCGCGGCGGCGCGGCCCGCAGGAGGGCTTCTTCTCCCTCAAGGGCAGGGCAGACAGGCGACTGGGCGCCACGCCCTTCTTCAGGAGGGAACAACAAATCGGGGGTGGACAGACCGCCTACCCTGACACGTCGATTAAGGAATTTGCGGTTTTCGGTTCGCGAGAGGCCGTCGTTGCCATCATTTTTGCGGGTCCAGGTCCACCGGTTTCGGTCCCAGGCCGTTTTCACTTAAGGGGAGGTTTACGAAAGGGAGGTTTGTCCACCGCCGAAAAAACAGGCACAGACACAATTAATAGTCGACTCCCCAGAAAGCATGGGAAAATATGGGAAGTGTGGGGGAAGACGAGAAACCAGAAAATATGGGGAAATGTGGGGAATCATTTGTGTCTACTTATTTGTGTGTCCCAGGGCCCCTTCATTTGTTAGATAGGACAGTGGGGGCCCATGCCAAGAAACACCCCTGCTTGTCTCTGGGGTGCCCTGGATTTCTTGGGTTTCGATGGGCTCTGCTATGGGGAGCGCGACGCTCCCCGTGTCCTGGGGTTCCAGGGTTGGGCTTCTCGTGGACGGTTTCTTGTGGTCGGGCTCCTACTGGAAAGAGATGTGCGGGAAGAAGGGCAGAAGCGGGAGGAGGAGAAGGAGCAGCAGCAGCAGCAGCAGCATCAGTGAGTCACGGAGCGGAAGGAAGGAGGGACATGGGGAGGCACGGTGGAAAAGGACGGGGAGGGAGAGAAAGGGGGGGAGAATGGTTTGGGGAAGTAGTCTGGGAGGGTGGAGAGGAAGAAGGATGGGATTGAAGGAGGCGGGTACGTGGAGGTACAGTTCCGCTCGTCTTGGATTGAATGTGTATCGGCGAGTAGAGCCCACTGGTGCTCAATAGCGCCGACCAGCCCCAATTAGCGCGCAGCAGCGCCGACTGGCGGCCCAGCAGCGCCGACTGGCGCCCAGCAGCGCCGAATAGAGCCCAACATGGCAGTTTTTTTAGCGGCCCATGGGGCCCAGCAAGGGCCCCCAGGGGCCGAGAATCTGCAAACGCCTCCTGGCATTTATGTATTTTATGTTTTTTCTCACTGCGAGCAGGGGCCGGGGAGGACCGTCGCCACACGCCGAACCATCCCCAACCCAACCTGAAGGACCCTCTTTGCGCTCCATTCCCCGGTGGGGAGGGGCTCGTCGGGGAACGTTGAACAAAAACACATTTGGAACCCGTACCCCCCTTCCCCGAACTGTGCCCAACAAATTGATTTCCGGGTCTGGTTGGGGTGGTCTGGTAGGCTCAGGCCGTGCATGTCCCCCTACAGGCGGAGCCTGGGAGTAGAAATGTTGAATAGCCAAAGCAAATTCAAGAATAGCCACAACTAGTCGAAACGCCGCCCCTATTTACAAATTATAGGCAGAGTCCAGTATCCCCAAACAGAGCTTTCAAACCCACTGCGGTTTCCAAGGTCGATTGCGTGCCCGTCCAGTGCGGGCTGGCATGGCACGTTAGAACATGCTTCTTCCTCCTCCTCCTGCTCCTCCTCCTCCTCCTCCTCCTCCTCCACCTCCTCTTCATCCCGAACGGCATCTCGGAGCCCAGAGTTGCGAGGATGTCTCCAGCGTAACGGGCTGGACCACCTCGCGCGCGGCATCTCGGACTCCAGAGTTGCGACGATGTCTCGGGCGAAACGTGTTGCGAGGAAGTCTCAGGCGAAACGGGCCCGACCACCTCGAGCGCGGCGTCTCAGAGCTCCGAGTTGCGGGGGCCTCCTGGGGCCTCCTGGGGCCCTCCTGGGGACCTCCTGGGGCTTCCTCCTGGGCCTCCTGTGGCCTCCTGGACCCCACCTGGGGCTTCCTGAAGCCTCTTGGGGTTCCCCCAAGGGGGGATATCTAACATGTGGCCGTCGGGGCCCCCCCAAATGGGGGGAGGGCACAAGAGCTGGAAAAATCAACGAATCGGCGCCTGACGTGTATTAATTTGACACGTTCTGATAGGGGGCCTCCTGGAAGCCTCCTGGGAATCTCCTGGGGACCCCTGGGGCCTGTCCTGAGCTTCCTGCGGCCTCCTGAAGCTCTCTATGTAACATATGGTCTTCTGGGCCCCCAGGCTGGACCACCTCTTGCGCGGCATCTGGGAGCTCAGAGTTGCGAGAATGTCTTGTGCGAAACGGGCCGGACCACCTTGCGCACGGCATCTCAGAGCTCAGAGTTGCGAGGATGTCTCAGGCGAGACGAGCCGGACCACCTCGCGCAGGGCATCTCAGCTCAGAGTTTGCAGGATGTCTCAGGCGAAGCGGGCCGGACCACCTCTCGCGCGGCACCTGGGAGCTCAGAGCTTCGAGGATGTCTCAGACGAAACGGGCCGGACCACCACTCGCGCGGCATCTCGGAATGCAAAAATGCGAGGATGTCTCAGGCAAAACGGGCCGGACCACCTCTTGGGCGGCATCTCGGGGCTCAGAGTTTGGAGGATGTCTCAAGCGAAACGGGCCGGACCACCTCTCGCGCGGCATCAGAGAGCGCAGAGTTGCGAGGATGTCTCAGGCAAAACGGGCTGGACAACCTCGCGCACGGCATATCAGGGCTCAGAGTTTGGAGGATGTCTCAGGCGAAACGGGCCGGACCACCTCTTGCGCGGCATCTCGGAGCCCAGCGTTTCGAGGATGTCTCAAGCGAAATGGGCTGGACCACATCTTGCGCGGCGTCTCAGAATTCAAAGTTGTGAGGATGTCTCAGGCGAAACGCGCCGGACCACCTCTTGCGCACGGCATCTCAGAGCTCAGAGTTTGGACAGTTTGGAGGATGTGTCAAGCGATACGGGCCGGACCACCTCTCGCGCGGCATTTGGGAGCTCAGAGTTTGGAGAATGTCTCAGGCGAAACGTGCCAGACCACCTCTTGCGCGGCATCTGGGAATTCAGAGTTTGGAGGATCTCTCACGCGAAACGCCCAATCCTGGACAACTCAGAAACGAGAGTTGCGAGGATGTCTCAGGCGAAACGGCCCGAACCATCAAATCCTTTTGAGGACGTCCCTGCTTTGAATTCCCCCGGCTGGAGTTAGCTTCTATCACAACAGCACCCCGTTCAGCAAGCTGTTTGGGGAAAAACAAGACATGATTTCTGAGTACTCCCGCTGTGGAGGGGCGTGCCTGGCTCCATGGTGGGCAGTCGGACCGAGGCGCCGCCGCCCCCCCGGCCATCTCTCCCCCGCCGCGCCTCGCCCCGCCCCCGAAACACAGGCCCGCCGAGGCCGGCAAGGGCGCCGGCAAGGGCGCGGAGGGCGCGGTGCGCCTGCGGATCCCGGCGCCGAGCGTGAACCTGGAGGACGGCCCGGGGCGGGCTCCGGGGGCGGCAGAGAAGGGGGTGATGACTCGGGTGGGGGGTCTCGTGGCGGGGGCCAGGATAATATCTCCCCAGAGCTCATGGCGCCTCTTCGTATTTCGTCACGTCCCTGGCCCTCCCCCCCTTGGGCTGCGCACGTGCCGCCGGCCATGATTTGCGCCCCCCCCCCTCTTGGACACCCCCCTCTTGGCCGCCCCCGAGGGTTGGAATTGGGGGGTGACCCACACCCAGATCATTGGATATACCAATTTTTGTTCGGTCGCGATCGGTAGCGACCGATCGGCACCCCAAATCGGTCGCGACTTATCGCGAATCGGTCGCCGATCGGTCGCGACCGATTTCGAAGCAACTCGGTCGCGACCGATACCGAAGCCTGAAGCAACATCGGGAGCGACCGATCTCGTCGGTCGCGACTGGAAGATTCCCGTGTCTCGGGGGCGGAAAAGAGGGGGGTGATGACTAGGGGGGGGGTGGATATCATGGCGGGGGCCACGATATCTCCCCAGATTTCGTGGCGCCTCTTCTTGTTTTATTACGTCCCTGGCCCCCCCCGCTGGGCCGCGCACATGCCGCCGGTCATGATTTGCAACCCCCAACTCTTGGACACCCCCCTCTTGGCCGCTCCCGAGTATCAACTGGGCAGGGCACGGGGGGCGAAGAGCAGCGCCCTGAAGGGGCACCTTATAGGGCCCCTTTCGGAGCCAGCAGGGGCCCGACAGGAGCCCTGAAGTGCCCCTGCGGGGCCCTTCGTCCCCCGTTTGGGTCACCCCCCAAATTACCATCGGGGGCGGAAAAGAGGGGGTTGATGACTAGGGGGGGTTGGATATCATGACGGGAGCCATGATATTTCCACAGATTTCATGGCGCCTCTTCTTATTTCAGTACGGCCCTGGCCCTCCCCCTAGGCCGCGCACATGCCGCCGGTCATGATTTGCACCCCCCAACTCTTGGACCCCCCCTTCTCTGCCGCTCCCGATGCCACCCAACCGACAGCCGCCGCCCCGCTCGCTGCACCCTGGGCCTCCCAGGTGGGGTCGGAGTAAGCAGTGATCTAGGCTCAGAGGAGGAAAAGGTACCCATGCCTATACCCTTTTGCCCGTTTTCCCGAGTTGGGGCCTCCTGGGAGGCCCTCGTAACCACCGCTGGATTAGCCTCGGAATCCTGGTCAGAACGCACCCCAGGAGAGGTCCAGAGGACAGCCGCCGTCCCACTTGATTAGAAGAAAAACTGGATAAGATAAACATACACTTTGATTGTAGAGGCCTCCGGCGGGTGCCGCCGATCCGGGACGATCCCGCTGTCAGAAAGACGCTTTCGCCCGAGCGCGTTTGTTCAAGCGTAAGTGGTTAGGAAACAGCTTGGAGGCAATGCGTGGGCTTCTTGAGGGGCCTGTACGACGCATCTTCGAGGCCTCCTGGGGGGGCGTCTTGGAGGTGATTGTTGAGCCTCTCGAGAGCCTTTGGGGCTTCTTGGGGGTTATGCAGGAGGCATCCTGGAGGCCTCCTGGGGGTGTGTAGGAGGTAATGTTTAAGCCTTCGGGAGCGCTTTGGGGCGCCTTTGGGGGGCCTCTCGAGGGCCACTTGGAGCCTCTCGGGGTTTCTTGGGGACTCCCTAGGGCCATTTGGGTGCCTCATGGGCGCCTCTTGGGCCGTCTTGGGCCCTTCTGGGGCCGTCATGGAGCCCTCTTGGGCGCTTCTTGGGCCCGTCCTGGGGCCCGCTTGGGCTGTCGGGGGCCTTCCGGGCCGTCTTGGGCTCTTCTTGGGCCGATTTGGGGCCCTCTTGAGAGCCTTTGGGTCTGTTTTGGGGGTCTCTTGGGCCGTGATGGACACTGCGAAGGCCGAAGAAGCGACAATGCAAACAAAATACGTCTTCCTACTGGTAGGGGGCAGATTTTACGTCTCTGGGCACTCTTAGGAGGTGTCGGGAGGGTACGTTGGAAGCTTCTGGAGCCGTCTGAGGAACATATTGAGCGTCTTGGAGCAATGTTTCGGCCACTCAGGGCCCTCCTGGGCCGTCTGGGCGGCCGCTGGGTTTTTTTTATGAGCCCGCGTTCGAGCTCTCCGGGGCGAGGGGCCGACCCGGAGTGAGCTGGAGCTCTGATTTTGCTACCTCGACCCCCCCCCTACCCCGGCAGAGCCATCCCGGCACCCACCCCCCAGGCAGAGCTGAAGCTCAAGAACTGAGGCTCAGGCCATATCTGAGGGTCTTTAAAACTCACACGCCGGATCGGCGGATTTCTTGGATCTGCACTGGGCCCCCCGGCGGAGCCCCCGGCGCCGCCCATGGCAGGGAGAGGCCCGGCGCAGATCCGAGAAACCCGCGCGGAGCGCCGAAAGTTTATGTTTGTTCAGTTGTTTCTTATTTTATTGATGCACCCTGGGCCTCCCAGGTGGGGTCGGAGTACACTGACCTAGGCCTCCCAGATGTGGCCAGAGTAGATGGGGTCGGAGGATCACGTCACACCGCCGATGCATCGGCGGTGCGGATTAAATAACGTCAACATGGCGTTCCAAGGCCCTTGCATCCTTACCGCGCATCCTTGCTATCCCTGGTCGAGTGTAAGGGGGGAGGCTGGATACCATGGCGGGGGCCATGACGTCTCCCCAGACCTCACGGCGCCTCCTCTTCTTCAACACGTCTCTGGCCTTCCCCCTTCCTGGGCCGCGCACACGCCGCGAACCTGGAGGACCACCGTCGCTCCACCTGATGCGTCTGGGGCCCTGGTCTTAAGTCGGGCGGGGATATTCCAAAATAGCCAAAAAATGGTTTGGGGACGATTGTCCGACTTTTTTCGAGCATTTTTGGAATATCTGTTTAAAAAGTATTTTTTTTTCTTTTCAGTTTTCGTCAAAAATCCCCCTGTAGGGGGACAGGCCCGACCTAACCCTTGTGGGACCTGCAAACGACAGGGCCTCCTCTGCCGTCTTGGGCCAATCAGGGGGGCTTCTCGGGCAGTCTCGTGGTCCAGGGCATCGAAAGGGCGAGAATGCGAAACTATCATTGAAGCCACATGGAAGACAGATGAGTTTGACTTGGGCGTCTCCCAAGCCTCATGCCCTACAGATCAGCTAAACTGTCTTCTTTCTCAGGTGTTAATAAAGCCAGAAGTGCACAACAACCCAGGAAGTTAACAATGCGCTAGAAACGTACATACTTGTTACAGGTTCCACCTGTCAGAGTTTTCAACAGCGCAACACAACGTTACCATTGGCGCAACACGAAGCTATTATTTGAGGCAAACGTGTGCGTATGTGGAACCAGCAGGCGCGTTGAAATTGCGTTGCAGTTGTGTTTTGATTTTAGTGGGACTTCAACAAATCTGCAACTATGTGGTTGCAGTTCTATGTTTTTGTTGCTGCGATGTCTGAAGTTCTGTTGCACTTCAACAAAACCCGCACAAACTTGCAACAGCGTTGTTACATTTGTGTTGCAGTTTGGTTTCGGTGTTGCTGCAGTTTGATTACAGTGTCATGCCAGTTTCGTTGCAGTTTCGCTTCGGTTTTATACACATTTGCACACCCATCTGTATGACTGCATGTAAGTATGTATGTCTGTCCGTCTGTCTGTCTGTCTGTCTGTCTGTATGTAGGTAGGTAGGTAGGTAGGTAGGTAGGTAGGTATGTAAGCATGCATGCATGCATGCACACAGTTAAACGCAGGAGCAGGAATCAACGCAACGCAGGAGCAGTTACCAAACACACCCAATAACCGTTACCATGCGCGTGACACCACGGGAACGCACGCACGCACACGAGTAGCCACGTCGAGATCCCCATGTAACGTTCCAAATGTATGTACACCCTTCCGGATTCTAACTTCTTGCTTAATTGTTACCTGTCTGGTGTATTATCATTCGTTTGTAAAGCTGTCCACTTTAGCCCAAAACGATAACAGGTTAACTTGCCTGATCTATTTATAGGGTGGGCCGTCCCGAGGCAACCTCCGGCGCGTTAGAGCCCCCCTCGAGCCGTCTCAGAGGGCTCTCTGGACATCTCGGAGGCCGCGGCGGGTGGAGCTGGGGAGGCTCCGATGGCCACGGAGCTGCACCGGGGAGCTCGCAGCCCTCCTCCCCCGCCAGGCCACCCTCCCAGTTTTTTCAAGGGGAGGTTCGACGCCGGGGGAAGTGGGCGAATTGGGCTGCATGCGAAACGACGCAGGGGTCGCGGGGAAGGGTGGCTGCAGTCGGCGGCGAGCGACGCGGGGGAGCGAGAAGGAGAGGGCCTTCTCAGGAGGCGGCGGGGCTTTTTTCAGAAGGCCTCGGGCCTTTGGGGGGTTTTTCGTGTCTCCGGGGGTCGCTTAGGAAAATTCTCAGAGGGCTGGGGGACCTCCAAGACTTCTCGCTCCCCGCCTTGGGCTCGCCGCCGAAGGTGGGCGACATGCACAACGACTCAGGGCCATGGGGAAAGGCGGCTGCAGGCCAGCCGTCAGGGACAGTGGGGGCGCGCATCAAGAAACCATCTGAGTTTCGTCAGGATGCCCTGGGTTTCTCCATTCCGCGCGCTGCGCGGTGACTTCCCGCGGCCGTCAAAGAAGCTGATTCGTTCAGGATGCTCGGGTTTTCCTCCCTCAGGTGCACCTCGCGCGCGGGTTTCCAGGGTCGGGTTTCTCGCGAGGGTTTCTTGCGACCGCGCCCGCACTGTAGGCGACGACGGCGGCGGGCAGGCGACGACGGCGCGGGCGGGGCGGCCCGTCGCCGCCGTCGAGGGTCAGGGGCGTAACAAAACGCCCCTACCCTGGCCTGCGTGGCGCCGTGCGCTGAACCCCTCCAGGCCGACAAGGGCAGATCCCGCACATCGCGCGCGTCGCGCGGCGTCCTGGCGGCCCTCTGGCCTTTTGGGAGCTCCCAAGAGGTGCATACAGACCGCGCAACTGTCACTCGGGGGTAGGGGCGTCCTTGCATCCCTCAAGAGGGAGGGAGGCTTGCGCAGGCGCGCGGGCCTGCCTCCCCGGGCGGTCCGCCGCCGCGCCCTGCCGTCGCCCGGCCGTCCTCGGGGGGGGGGGGCGCCCTTCCCTCCTCCCCGCTCGCTCCTCGCTTCTCCCCTCCTCCCCTCGCGCTCCTCGCGCTCCTCCCCAAGCGTTCCTCGCGCTCCTCCCCTCCTCCCCTCTCGTTCCTCGCGCTGCTCCCCTTCTCCCCTCTCGTTCCTCGCGTTGCTCCCCTCCTCCCCGGTCGCTCCTCGCTCTCTTCCCCTCTCGTGCTTCCTCCTCCTCCTCGCTCTTCCCTCTTCCCCAGGGTAGGGGGGAGGGGGGGAGGGGGGCAGACGTCTCAGATAGCACGCCTTTGCACCTGCGGCTAGCAGGGGTCGGCGGACTTCGATGCGGTGGAGGTCAGGAGGCTCCTGCCGACGACGCATCTTTGCCGCGACTTGGGCCTCCAGGTATCGCGACCCCTCGCCGGGGACCGCTCTCTCATCCCGAGCAGGCTTTGGCAGTCCTGCAGGGCGGCCAGGCGGCCTCCAGAGGCCGAACACACCGAGGAGCGTGGCGGCGCGATTCTCTGGCGGCGCCTGGATCCGAGGGGAGGCCCGGGGCCGCGCTGTCGCGGTGGACGGGCCGTCCCGCGGCGCGCACGGGTGGGCAGGCAGACGGCCGCGGCCTTCCGAGAGGCTTTCCTGAGCCTTGTCCGAAGGCGCAGAGGGTCTCCTTAGGTTGCAAATCGCGGAAGTTTCCTCTCCTCTTGAGTTGAATGTGTGTGTATGTAATGTAATGTGTTGTAGTGTAATGGAATATCATGTAATGTAGTGTAATTCAATGTAATGCAATTCAATTTAATGTAATGTAATGTAATGTGATGTAATGTGATGTAATGTAATGTAATGTAACGTAATGTAATGTGATGCAATGTAGTGTAATGTAATGTAATGTAATGTATTGCAATGTAATGTAATGACATGTTGTTGTAATGTAATGTATTGGTAATGGGCAATGCATTGTAATGTATTGTATTGTAATGTGATGTGATGTAATGTAATATACTGTATTGTAATGTAGTGTAATGGAATGGAATGGAATGGAATGGAATGAAGTGTAATGTAGTGTCGTGTCGTGTCGTGTAGTGTAGTGTAATGTGATGTAATGTAATGTAAGGTGTGTGTGTGTCTGCGAATTGAGTAGCGCCCCGTAGCGCTCGATAGCGCCAGCTAGCGCCCAGTAGCGCCGAATGCGGCGTTCGCACAGCGCCCAAGACCGTGACGTGAGGGAGACGCATTCTGTCAGCTTCGCGCGCGATGGGGCGCGCAACTGGGCGCCGTTGTCATGGCCAAGAGCTTCCGTGAGCTGCTCCAGGGGCTCCTCGGAGGGCCAGAGGCTTCTCAGAATCCCCGCCGCCTTGGAGAAAGCGGGCCCCCTCGCGCTTCTCGTGGCGAAAGACCCATCCGTATCCACGGCCTCGCGGGCCGGCTTCCCCTTTGGGCCGCGACCCCGCGGACACGGGGCGTTCTTCGTAGATGCCCCGAGCGGAACGCATCCCCTGCGACCGCGCATCCGCGGGATCGCGCCCCGGAGGGTGTCGACGCTCGCCGCTCGGGAGGAGGAGGAGGAGGAGGAGGAGGAGGAGGAGGAGGAGGAGGAGGAGGAGGAGGAGGAGGAGGGGAGGAGGAGGAGGAGGAGGGGGAGGAGGGGGAGGAGGGGGAGGAGGGGGGAGGGAGGAGGAGATGGAGGAGGAGGAGGAGGAGGAGGAGGCGGAGGAGGAGGAGGAGGAGGAGGAGGAGGAGGCGGAGGGACGGAGGAGGATGAGGAGGAGGAGGATGAAACGGAGGAGGAAGAGGAGGAGTTGGAGGAGGAGGAAGGAGGAGGAGGGGAGGGATGAGGAGGAGGAGGAGGAGGAGGGAGGAGGAGGAGGAGGAGGAGGAGGAGGATGAGGAGGAGGAGGTGGAGGAGGAGGAGAGAGGAGGTGGAGGAGGAGGCGGAGGAGGAGGAGGTGGAGGAGGAGAGAGGAAGATGACGGATTGCCTAAGCCCTTCGGAGAAACCCTCCAGCCTCCTCCAGGGATCGCGCACCCCTGCGGCGCCGGGCGTGCCGCCGCAGGAGCGGCAGGCCCAGCTTGCAGACGATCCGGCCTTCAGCAAGACCCAGCGAGGGGGGGAGGGGGTTCGTGCAGTCGGGGCTCAAGATCAGAGGAGGAAAAGGTACCATTTATCCTTCGCCTGTTTTCTTCTTTTTGGGCCTCCTTGGAGGCCCTCGTCGCCACCGCTGGATTCGCCTCGAAATCTTAGTCAGAACGCACCCCGGGAGAGGTCCGGGGCGTGGCGGTATCGGTACCTTTTGGTTTCCCCAGTCGGGGCTCAAGAGGCGGGGATCAATGCAGCGGACGGGGATAGGACGAGGATAGCTCAGTGCCAGAGCGCTCCTCAACGCTCTCAGAGCGTTCCGGAATGCTCTCAGAAGGCCGCGGCGCCGAGACATCTTCCAGAGCCGCCAGAGCTCAGATATTCCCGATTTATCTCCACCCGGATTTATCCTCACCCTGGCTTCGTCTTAATGCAAGCGGGGGTCAGCCAGAGCGCCAGATCTTGCAGTAGCCTGCAGAGCCAGGGGCGAACTGACCCGGGGTTGGTTGCAGGATGCTGTAGGATCCTTCAACGCCTGACTGATCCGGGCGGGTCTGGATTGACCCGGGTCAGTAGGTCCCCGATCACCGATGCAGGATGGTGATTCAGGAGATGCCGGGGCTCGTGTACACGCGGCGGCGCCCAGGATGATTAGAACAAACGGCCACCTGGCCGGGAAACGTGCTTTCGAATCGTTCTCCCTTCTGCGCCCTCCTCGGGGGCCCGCTGGTTGGCCGACGGGCCAGACGGAGATTCGAAAACTAGTTTGTCAACCGTTCCCCACATTATCTAATTAATCGTCATGATATCTTGCATGAAGAGATTCAGCGACCTTCGACCCAAATCCACTCGCGTCGCGAAATAGTCACGCTGGGAGTTTATATTCTAGTTCCCAGATTATTGGGTATACCGATTTTCTTCGGTCGCGATTGGTAGCGACCGATCGGCACTCCAAATCGGTCGTGACCGCTTTTGAAGCAACTGTCGCCACCAACTCCGGAATTTGAAGCAACATCGGTAGCGACCGATCTCGTCGGTCGCGACTGGAAAAGTAAAGTATCCAATGATCAGGGCTTTCGGGCTTTGGGGGCTTTTACCTGGCCGCGAACAATGGCTCAGGGTAGAAAGGCCAGTCCCAAGGAAAAGGTCGAGAAACGATTTCAGGAAAAACATTGAGTTTGGGGTTTGATTAGGTTTGGATTTGACATCCCATCATGAGTTGTTTTGTCTTTTTCTTTTTGTTCAGCCCCAGGGATTTTTCCCGTCTGGGGGCTTTCAACGGGCCGTGAAATATTGTCCTTGGTAAAGAGAAGGCCTGTCCCAGGGAGTGTGTCGAGAGTCGAGACTTCGGGGGGCACGTTGTGAAAAACCACATGTTTTAGGGACTTAATTAGGTTTGGATGTTGACATCCCATCGGGAGTTTTTTTTTGTTCGTTTTGTTTTTTTCAGCCCCGGGGCTTTTCCTCATCTGGGGGCTTTGAACGGGCCGTGAAAGATAGTCCATGGTAACCAAAAGGCGGTCCCAGGGAGTGAGTCGAGAGTCGAGACTTAGGGGGGGTCCTCGTTGTGAAACAAAACAGGGATTTGGGGATTTAGTGAGGTTTGGGTTTGACATACCATCGGAAGTTTTTTCAGTCGCTTTTCTTTTTTTCAGGCCCGGGGCTTTTCTCCATCTGGAGGCTTCAACGGGCCGTGAAATATTGTCCGTAGACAAAGAAAAGGCTGGTCCCAGGGAGTGGGTGGAGAGTCGAGACTTCACTGGGTCAATGTTGTGAAATGAAACAGGGTGTTTGGGGTTTCATTTGATTTGGGTCTTGACATCCCATCGGAAGTGTTGTTTCGTCGTTTCCCTTTCGGGCCGTGCAAGATTGTCCAGGGTGAAGCGAAGGCCGGACCCAGGGAGTGGGTCGAGAGACGGCCACGCTGTGAACACAAAATTGCGGTTTAATTTGGCTTGGTTTGGGTTTTGACATCCCATCGGGTTGTTTTTGTATTGATTATGTTCAGCCCCGCGGCTGGTCCTCATCTGGGGGCTTTTAACAGGCCGTGGAATATTGTCGATTGTTAAAAAAGGCCAGTCCCAGGGAGTGGGTCAAGAATCGAGACTTAGGGGGGGTCCACAGTATAAAAAAACAGGGGTTTAATGAGGTTAGGGTTTGGCATCCCATCGGGAGTTTTTTCAGTCGTTTTCTTTTTTCTCCAGCCCGTGAGCTTGTCCTCATCTTGGTGCTTTGAAAGGGCCGTGAAAGAGATTGTCCATGGTAAAAAAGTCGGTCCCAGGGAGTGGGTCGAGAGTCGAGACTTCGGGGGGTTCACGCTGTGGGGAATAAGCAGGGTGTTTTAGGGATTTAATTAGGTTTGGCTTTGACATCCCATGGGGAGTTTTTTCTGTCGTTGTCCTTTTTTTCAGCCCGGGGGCCTTTCCTTTTCTGGGGGCTTTTAGCGGGCCGTGAAAGAGTGCCCACGGTAAAAAACAGGCCAGTCTTAGGGGGTGGGTCGATAGTCGAGATTTCAGGGGGGTCCACGTTGTGAAAAACAGGGGGTCTGGTGTTTCATTAGATTTGGGTTTGACATCCCATCGTTTATTTTGTTGTCGCTTTCTTTTTTTCCCAGCCCCAGGGCTTTTCCTCATCTGGGGGCTTTTAACGGACCGTGAAAAATTGTCCATGATAGAAAAGCCAGTCCCAAGGAGTGGGTGGAGAGTTGAGACTTCAGGGGGTCTTCGCTGTGAACCAAAGGGGAGTTTGTGGTTTGATTAGGTTTGTGTTTGACATCCCATCGGCAGATTTTTTTCGTCGTTTTGCTTTTTTTCAGCCCCGTGGCTGGTCCTCATCTGTGGGTCTTTTAGCGGGCCGTGAAAGATTGTCCATGGGAACTAACCGGTCCCAGGGAGCGGGTGGAGAGTCGAGCCTTCAGGGGGTCCACGTTGTGAAAAAACAAGGAGTTTGGGGTTTGATTAGGTTTGGGTTTGACATCCCATCAGGCGTTTTTTTCTCGTTTTCCTTATTTTTCAGCACCGTTTTTTTCTCAATCTCTGCCTCTCGGGCCCGTCTTGGGCCCCCTGGAGTCACCAGAACAGCTGGTCACACCCCCGTGCATGGCGTATTCGTGTGTTGCTCGTTGCGTGTTCGTTTTGTGTGTGTGCGAGTTCCCTGCGTTGTCGTGCCAATGCGCCGTCTACGTGTGTCTTCTTGTGTTTGTGTGTGTGTGTGCCTCCTCCTGCATGGTGGCACAATTCGCTACAACGGCACCCCCGTTTAGGGAGCCCTCCGCCAGCGCAGTTACTCTGCCTAGCCGCCGACGTGTGTGTATATATATACATATTATCTATAGAAAACATATGTAAACTTATGTATATAAATATGCACATCTATGTCTCTGTATGTATATACATATAAAGATATGTATACCTATACAAGTGGCACGTGTGTGCCCAGGCTCATACAAGTGATGCACGATGGGCTGACGGAGTGAGCGAAGCGATTAACACGAGAAGTGTAAGCACGATTCCCACCAGCCGATTTGTTTCACTAGACAATTTGTGGAGGGAAAGAGAAGGAGGAGAAGAGTAGGAGGATAGCTGCTGGGAGTGACACTCAATAGCGAGGTCGCACTTGAGCGCTAGTGGGGTTGCCACACCTTGCGATGTGTGTACCAGGGCCCCCCAGGAAGCCTCAGGAGGCTCGACTTGGACACCGGAAGAGGCTCCAGGAGGCCCCAGGATTGTGAGTGTTGTGTGGGTGTGTGTGTGTGTGTGTGTGTGTGTGGGTGATGTGTGCTCTGTGTTGTGCGTGTCTTCTGTGCGTTTTAGGTGTGTGTCTGATGTTTGTTTAGCGTGTGATGTGTTGGTGTGATTTGTGTCTCTGTGTGTGCATGTAGTTCTGAGGCCCCAGGAGGTCCCAGGAGGCCCCGGGCGGCCTCAGGATGCCCCAGGAGGCCCCAGGAGGCTCCAGGCGGCCCCAAGAAGCTCCAGGAGGCCGCAGGAGGCCAGGAGGTTCCAGGAGACCCCCAGGAGGCTCCAAGGCGGGGTCTGGGGCACTAGAAGGCACAGAAAAGCCCAGGAGGCCCCAGGAGGTTCCAGGAGGCCCACAGGAGGTTCCGAGGCAGGGTCTGGGGTACCAGAAGATACGTCGGGGCTCGATTTTGGGAGGATGTCTCAGGCGAAACCGCCATTCTCTGAGAATCGGGGTCAAAATCATTGAAATTACAGTGTGTTTTTGAAGGTTTGATGTTTAAATGTTGAAATTCCTATGTGTTTTTGGACCCTGACGTCACGATCTGTGTGAGGGGTGCCACCGATTTTCAGAATTCCAAGGATGTCCCTAGCGAAACGGCCAGACAAATCGCGAACGACGCGGCGCGTACGCATGAATCGCCTCTGAGCTCTGCTCCCTCGGAAAGGTGCGTATGATAATACATATATATATATATATGTATGTGTATATATATATACATGTGTATATATATATATATATGTATGTGTGTGTGGTTGTGTGGTTGTGTGGCTGTGTGTATGTGTGTGTGTGTGTGAGTGTGTGTGTGTGTGGGTGGGTGTGGGTGTGCCACCGCCTGGAAGCGACGAAAAATCGAGCTGCGCGCAGCTGATTCGCCCCCCTTCCTAGCCCGCCTCCCTGTCGCCCGCCCGAAGACATTCGACGATGCTTGTTTGCGATCCACTGATCCCCAGAGGTGCCGACCCCTTCTCCACAGGCCCTGTGCCGTTCCAGACATGTAACTCGGTGCCCCGGATGATAACATATACCCCCCTTTCCCCCTCTATTTTGATTGTCCCGGTTCACTCAATAGGATTTAATTGTGGAGATGGGTGCGGAGGCCGAACTTGATAATCCACGGGGGAAGTTGCGAATCGAAGTTGCTATCATCTCATGTTGGCTAGCAGCAGCATCAAAAACGCTGAGCATGGCCATGGTGGTCTCACCAGATCAGCTTCCGCAATCACGAGCGTGTGGCAGGGCTGTGGGATTATCAGCTGTTCAGTTTGCCCAAGTCACGAACGCGCGGCAGAGCCATGGGATTCTCACTTTCTCAGCCGTTCCCGAGTCAGGAACGTGTGGCAGGGCCATGGGGACCGATTTGATTTTGATGTTACGTGCGTTTTCCGAGCAGGCAGAGCATTGGAGTTAATTATTTTGCAGTGCATCCATCACACGGTTCGTGGCCCTTTTTCCTTTTTCTTCTCCTCTACCCCCGCAATTGCCCAGGCCCTCTTGCACTGGCAAGTTGTAGCCACGAGCCTCGAGAGATCTCGAGTCAGTCTTGTGCCAAGATCTAAAATATCAGTCTACACGAGCGCCCATGCTCACCATCATCATGATCCTCGTCATCATTATCATCCTAACTCCTAGCTAACATCACTTTCCCCGGGAAACGCGTTGGTTATCCCCGCCAGACCACCAACTTCATTATCTCGGGGGTGATGATTACATGGTTATGTTTCACAAGTGTTGTTGCGGTTCGAAAACATCATTGCCATTGGAATAGATCAACAATGGCGTGACACAACATCGCATCCGCCGGACGTAAGCTTTCGGACGTCTACGCGCATTCAGGGGGCGGCTTTCTGATCGATTCCGAGACGCACTATCACCCAGATATATCGTCATCCCGCCTTCGTCTTAGAAACCAAGCGGGAGTCACAGGGGGAGAGCAAGAAAGGCAGGAGAGGCGGCAGCAGCAGGAAACGTAGCTGGGGCAGGATGAGCAGGGGCAGCAGGTGCAGCAGGAGCAGCAGGACGGTGTGGGATGCTGAGTAGGGCAGGGAGCTTCGTGAGGTCTGGAGCCAGGTGGCTTGCCATCGCTGGGACATGTGCATGTGTGCGGCGAGGCGAGGCCGAAACCAGAACGTCGTGACTCCGTCTTGGAGCATCTGAGCGATGGCAAGGCGAAGCCGTCCCTCATTCCCCTCCCCCGCTAACCCTGGCTTGGGAGCTCTTCTGCGGCTGGCCGGGTTTCACGACATGGCCCTGGTGACTGGTGAGTCCCCGATTGAATCGTAGGAGAAGCATCGGCATGATTGATGCGCTTTCGGAGGTCGGCGGTGATTTTCTTGGATCGGCATTGGACCCCCTATCGGCGCTTCCTGTGCATGGCGCGCTCCGCGCCGCTAGGGAGCGGGATCGGGCGCCGATCCAGGGACTGGTAGTTACGTAAATGCTTGGTCCTCTCGATTTGTAATTGTCTGGGGTGGCGTGAACGGGCCTTCTGCTAAGATCACCAGTTCGAGGGCAACGCTTTTACAGAGTTCAAGCTTAACGTTGCTATACTCTCGAAGTTCGGACGAACCATGGGAGAACGTCCCGCAGCGAAAACGTTCCGAATCTCCAGAGCGCGTTTGAACTTTTCGAACTCCCGAATTAGGTTCGAATGTGTTCCGAACTCTTCCATGTTCCAAGCGTTTCCAACTTTGAAAATATGTTTGATCTTTGTCCAGTCATTTTTTTTCAAACTTTTTCCACGCTCAGCTTAACCATTAGCACTTCTTCGGAACTTTCCCTCGACTGTTGCATTTTTGATGAACTGTTGCTTTCCTTGGGTATCGAGATCGAGCTTCTAACCTTCCCTCCGCTCGAACCCAAGCCCAACCTTGATTTCTTTTCCAGGAATGACTTCCTTTGCCGTTGTCCCCGTCAGCCAATTACAACTCTAGATGAAGCGGGGGCGGGGATCGGTGTCGGTATGGGGCAGTTGGAGGGCAGGACGAGAGTCAAGGTGTCGGGGCGGAAGAGCGATAGGAGGACGATCGGAAGCATCATGAGCTGCAGGCGGATGAGGACGGGAAGCGGCATTGGGTGGAGTGTGAATGGAGCGCGGGGGGGCGGGGGAGGAGGGAGAGGAGGGAGAGTATGGGAAAGGACGAGGAGGCGAGGGAGGAGGGGAAGACGGAGAGGAATCGGGAGTTGAGTGTTGGAGGGCAGCACAATGGGTGACGAGGATTGGGGCTGGGAGCAGGAGGGGGATGTGCATGAGGATGTGGACGCGGAGGCAGGCGAGGAGGTGTCGTGAGGAGCGAGCATGAGGAGCGAAACAAAGGATTGCGAGGTTGGATGAGGCGGGAGAGAGAGAGAGAGAGAGAGAGAGAGGAGTCACGTGCAGGAGACGGGATCAGCTTGGAGCAGGAGGAAGAGTAGGCGTGAGGACACATGTCGGGAAGGCGGAGGCTCTCGCCCTCACACGACCATCTTGCATGTCATCCTCCACCCTCCTCCCTTACCCCTGTCCCCTTCTGCATCTGCTGTGATAAGGTTATCTCATGCATCGTTGCGCTAAATGCCAGCTCCCCCTGCTGTCTTGACTTGACCGTCATCCTCCCAGCCTCAGCTTTGCATCGCATCAGAGCTCGTTGTATCTTGCCTCGTTCTGCATTGCATTGGGCATGTGCGCTGTCCTCGTCCTTCACTTGCTCCCGGGTCCTTGTCACTTCCACTTCCGATGCGCATCAAGTTTGTTTGATGGCTTCTAACACCTCCTCTTGCCCATTACGCGAAACAGTTTGCTGTTTTGTTTGATCCCTCCGCGTCAGAGACTCCCCACGTCTGCAGTTGTTTCACGTTCCATGATCGATGGCTGATTTTTGACAGTTTCTGGCGAACCTGGGGCATGGATCGTGCTCCCTCAGGTCGTCCTCCGGGTTGATGTTAACTCGCTCCAGGGCGCTCTGGGACGCTCCCTGAGCTTCTCTTGACAATCTGAAGGGGCCTCTCTGGAATAGCCGTGCCAGCCCCGCCAGCTCTGGGAGGTTCCTGGACTGTCTTCATCTGGGAGTGTCTACATAGCTTTACGTCGGGCGTGCCCTTCTACAGGAGGAGTATTCAAAACTAGTCAAACAAGTCTGGGGGCGACTTTTTGATTATTTTTTAGCATCTTCGGGTTTTTCTCTGGTATTTTTTATTTTTCGTCCAAGATCTGCCTGTAGGGGCTGTGCATCCCCCAAATGTGCAAACGAAGTCAAAGCAGTCGACTGGCCTTGGCATGGTGCATATCCCCTCGTGGCCGTGGCCAGGAGGCTACAGTATCCCATCCTGGGGCCTGCGATAATGGGGGGAAACGATGAAAACAACTTTCTGGGGCGGGCGATTCAAAACATTGTTTCGCGGGCCTCCTCGCCCCCGCAATAGCGGGGGCGCAGGGCAGGCAGACGGGGGGCTGACAATTCCGGGTTGCCTGGAAGGCCAGAGGGGGGGGGTGGGGGCACGGGGTGGCGATCCAGGGCGCGGGGGCCAGGGGGGTGGACGGGGTGATTTTTCAGGGCGAGTTCGTCCTCCTCCTCCTCCGCCTCCTCCTCCTCCTCCTCTTCCTCCTTTTCCTCCTCCTCCTCCTCCTCGTCCTCCTCCATCTTTTCCTCCTCCTCCTCCTCGTCCTTCTCCTCGTCCTCCTCCTCCTCCTCGTTCTCCTCCTCGTCCTCCTCCTCCTCCTTCTTCTCTTCCTCCACGATTACTCAATATGAATACTACTCTCCCTCTTCCCCTGATGACGGCTTGAAAGTGTGAGCCCCCTCCCCGCGTATAATTTTGTTACACAGGATTCCCCGGAGCTGGGTTTTCGCTTGCATTTTCCCCAACATGCTGCTCTCGCTGAAGCGCTGGCCTCATTTTCGGGCCCCGCTCGTTCCGAATCGTGCTCCCGCTGCAGCGCTGGCCTCATTTCCGTGCTTCCGCTCGTTCCGAATCGTGCTCCCGCTGCAGCGCTGGCCTCATTTCCGTGCTTCCGCTCGTTCCGAATCGTACTCCCGCTGCAGCGCTGGCCTCATTTCCGCGCTTCCGCTCGTTCCGACTCGTGCTCCCGCTGCAGTGTTGGCGTCATTTCCCGTGCCAAGCCACGGCATGCAATGCAATGCTAGGTTGATACTACGCTTTGCGGTGCTCTTCTACGCCATGCCACGCCGTGCTCTACAATGCATCGCGTACCTTTTCGGGATCATTGCCCTGCTCGACATCCGACTGTGCGAGTAGAGAGGGGATCTACGCCATGGTAAGGGATGGGAAGGAGGGGTAGGATGTCAGATATGACGCGAGCGCACCTAGCTTGTCCTCCCCCCTCCTCCTCTTCCTCCTCCTTCTCCTCCTCCTCCTCATTCCCCACTTCCCAATCGCCGCGGCCGTCCGCAAGGACGACCGGCGGCCGTCCGCAAGGACGAGGGTGATCAAGCGCCTCTTCGATAACCCCTTCCCTCAACTACTCCCTAATTACCCCGTCCGCCCTCCGCAATCCTCCCCCCGGCGGCCGCGGGTGATCAAGCGAACGAAGGAGGACGAATAGAAAATCAGCCCCCCCACAGGGGCAAAAGCAAACGCCAGGGGGCGGACGATTAAAAAAACAGTTTCTGGCGGCTGAATTCTATTAGTCCGCCCCACTCAATCATTTTGGGGGGTCCGGGGGGGGGGGGGGGGATTTTTTAATCGTTTCCCCCCGTTAGCCCTGGCCAGGCAGAGTGGTGGCGTCAACATTTCTTCTGCGCATCTCGTTCAAGGACCGGCCACAACGCTGTCTAGCTTGATTTGAGGCCTTGTATTGTTTTTCGTTGCGTTTTTCGTTGTAGTCTCGTTTCGCTTTCCGCTGTTGTTTTAAACTCGCCGTGCCTTTCCTTTTCGTTTGGCACAGGCTTCTTTTTCAACGTTCGTATTCATGGTCGGGCTTTGTTACGTTGTTCGTGGTAAACCCATGTCGTTTTAAACATTGCTGTGGTCGGTCCTTGTCGTCCCCACGAGGATCTCCCATGAGTTGCCTCCCAGCTTTTGCTGTCCCCTCCCCTCGTCCGCCCCGATCCTCCCCTCGGTCGCCGTCCCCGCCCGCCCGGCGGTGGCTGCCCTTCCTGCTTCTGCTCTGGCGGGGGGAGGATCACAGCAGCGCGACGGGAGCTCCCCGTGTGGGCCATGCGCCACGAGCGAAGGGGCGGGAGGGAGCAGCCCATCAGGGGCAACGTTGCCCGTCGGTCGTTGAAAGTAGATGTTTCTGGAGGCCCTGATCTCAATCTGCTTCAAGCGTCTTCCTGCTTCAAGAGTCGATCTGCTTTTGCTGTGTTGTGCTATTCTCTTGGAGGGCCTGGACCCGATCAGCTCTATCCGCCTTCCCGACAGACGGGTGAGGGGGTAGGCGCAGGGGGAATAAGGTCAGGCTCGAGTTTATCAGATGTCTTCGTCAGTTCCAGGACGTTTACCAGTCTTGGGATGCGCTCCGGCAGCTGCGCGTCGCCGTTCCAAGGGTGCCGGGATCGTTACGAACGGCCGCCAAAGACCCGAGTCATGATCCGAAAACCGAGACCGGTCAGCGGTAGAGGGGGACATGCGCAGGAAGGGATGCATCGACCCCCAATCGCGCCTTGATCGCCAACGGGGCCATCAACAGAACCTCTTGGCGCTCCGCGCGAATTTCTTGTATCCGCGACGGGCCCCCCCGGCGGCGTCTCCGGCGCCGCCCCTGGCGCGTTCCGCTCGCCAGGGAGGGGGGTCCGGCGCAGATCCAAGGATTCCGCGCGGACGGCCACAAGATAATGTTTATGGCGTTTTTTCGTTCTTGATGATCGCCAAGCCCGCCCAGGACCTTGCGGTTCTTGCTGTCGAGAGCCAATCGCCGATGGATCGGCGAGGTATCGCCGTCCCAGGTCGGTTTCCCCCCCCTGAGCCAGTCACCTCCTGTCGTTGCCCGTCAGCCCAGACCTTCAGCTTCCTGCAGAAATCAGGACGGATGTTTTTTTTGCCGTCATTTCGGCCTCCTGTCGAAGAATAACGCCATAAACATATGATTTGTTTGCGCTCCGCGCGGATTTCTTGGATCCGCGCTGGGCCCCCCCTGGCCCAGCGCGGATCTGAGAAATCCGCAGGGAAGGCCAAGAGTTTATGGGTCTGGCGTTTTTTCGTCTTCCTTTCGGGGGCCTTCGCAGGGCTCCCAAGACAGTCCAAGAACATCTCGGGGTGAAAAGCCGGCCCTAGGGAAAGTGCTGAGACGTCTTGGCAATTCTGCACGAACGAGATGGGCACGGACAGAATGGGTACAATGCCCAACAGCAGTTCCTGTTCATTTTGAACAGGACTCGCTGTCGGCGCGGCCGCGGCCTGTGTCCATTTGAGACAGAAGGCCGCCTGCCCAACAGCGGCCGCTGTTGGTTCGGGACAACATTTGTTGTTGGGCATTGTACCCATTCTTTCGGTACCCATTTCGGGTGTCCACAGTAATTACCCCGTATTGGGAAGAAGAAGACGCCGGATCTCCAGGCAGGAGGTGGTCCGCGGTTCGGTCGGTTCGGTTGTGTCGCCGTCGCTCGCGTTCGGTCGGGTTTGGTTTGGTCGGCTGTCGTGTCGTTGCCTATCCGATTCGGTTGCGAGATCGTTATCCTTCCTCCTCCTCGCCCTGCCCTCCTCCTCCTCCTTCTCCTTCTCCTCCTCCTCCTCCTCCTCCTCCTCCTCCTCCTCCTCCTCCTCCTCCTCCTCCCCCTTGACCAGCGTGATCTTGATTCATTCAGTTTGGCACGTGCGAAGGATGTCGAACCTGACAACTAGGCAAGAGCGCGCTTGGCATCGCCGTGCACGTTCCACATGTGTCGCTACCCATTGGCCGTTGAAGGTAGGATTGTTTAGATTCCCAGATCCCAATCTACCTCGGTGCCTTCTTGTTTCAAGAGTCAGCGGTTCCCATCTTGCCTTCCCTTCAGGTGGCGGGCGGAAACCCAGTCTTCTTTTAACGCCCTCCGGCCTCATGTTTATACGTGCCCATCTCTTCTGACCGATGGGCACACTCCTCATCCTCGGACCCCGAGGCGAGGGCCGATCTTGGGCAGCACTGGGCCCGTCAAGACGGGCCGAGCGCCCCTCCCCCGTGGGGGCCCTGCTCCCAGGCTCGAGGCGGCACCTCCCCCCCCGCGCCAGCCTTCCTCGGGCTTGAGAAGCGAGCCTTCCTCGGGCGAGCGCTCGCCCGGGCGGTCCGCTGCGCCCTCTCGCCCTCTCGCCCGCTCCCGCTCCGCGGCCGAGCCCGCTCGCCCTCTCTGACGAACCAACAACAGACACCCATACCCATAGGGGTCTCGGAGAGGGCTATGGGTGCGTGTTGTCGGATGGGGGTCCCCGTTCGAACGGGTGCGTTCCCCAGGGTCCGAAAACCCGCACCCATACCCATAGCCAGTCCTCCTCCCAACGACCCCCCCTATGGGTATGGGTGTGTGTTGTTCGCTCGCCCTCCCGTCCTGGGCCGTGCCGGCGAGGACGAGGCACCGGGGCCCTGCCCCGTGCTCGCCGGCGCGGCGCAGGACCTATAAGGCCGAGAGGCCGGGCTCCGGGGCGGGGGCCGAGGGATCCGGGGCCCGCGCGTGGCGTGTCGAGGCGAGGCTTGAGTCGGGCACGTCCCCTCTGCAGGAGGAGCGTGCAAGAATAGTAAAGCAATGGTCTGTGTTTGTTGAACAAAGAATAGCAACAGTGCTAACTACATTAATGTGTATATCTGCATGCACACACACATATATATATATATACATATATATATATATATATATATATATATAGAGAGCAACATTGAATCTATTTTGTCCAGTGTCAGCTTTCTGTGTTAGTTTTCTTCCAAAATCCGACTGTAGGAGGACAGCCCCGACCCAAGACCAGGTCGGCGCATCGGCGCCACCGGCTGCCCCTCCTGCTGGCGTCTTCCTTGAGGCTGCCCGTCGGGGGCCTCGAGAGACGGGGGGCAGCGTAACCGGTCGGAGGAAGTAGAAGCGACGCCAAGACCACCAGGGGGGCCACCTCCACGAAGGAGGTCCAAGATTTATGATGTTCCAACCTACTTTAGCCTTGATCACCAGAGGGAATTTCGAGCACCGTAGAAGTACCGAAACTTGAGGGTTTTTACGTGTCGGGCCCTGAGAGGCACTCGTCCGACACTGTTTCGACACTCTTTCGACACTTTTCGGGGTGCTCGAAATTGTTTCTAGGATGTGGTCCTTAAGTACGATGGGAGCAACATAATCCAGGATGCCTCCCCGAGCTGGAGGCAGGGGATGTCTCGAGCGGGAAGGGGGGACCACTCCACCAGGGAGCCCCCTCTTGCTCCTCGCATCTCCTCGCCCTCTGTTGGTGTTGGTGTCGCCTCTCCTTGTTCCTAAACTGGGGCCAGTCAGAGCGCTGGATCTTGCAGGATCCTGCAGGGCCAGGGTCGCATTGACCCGGGCTTGGGTGCAGGATCCTGCAGGGTCCTGCAGGATCTTGCGGGATCTTGCACAGCCTGACTGACCCAGGTTTGGATTGACCCGTGTCAGTAGATCCCCGAGCCTGACTCGGAGGACGCGTAATGGGGTGGGCGATACATGGGGGGCAGCGATGGCTGCAGAAAGGGGCCCCTGAAGGCCTGAAGGGGCCCTTTAGGGCCCAGAAGAGGGCCCTCAGGTCTCGAAACGGGCACCTTTCTCCCCCCCCCCCATGTATCGCCCCCCATTAGTTCGCGCCCAACTGATTGCTTTGAGGTTCAAAAGAGGCGTCTTCGCGTGGTACTTCGGCTTGCAACTCCGGGGACGTTGACTTCAGCATCGTCGCTGCTATGTCCATGGTTGGAAACCGTGCAAAGCTTTCCCGATCCCGCTCAATCTGGCCTGAAGGCCTGATTTCATTTCGAATTTGGTTCCGGCTTCCTGGGTCCTTGAATCGGGCTCAGCATTTAGTCGTTCTCGCGTGGGCCTCCCAGCAGTCGTCTCCTGAGGACGGTGTGGAAGGTGGATCGCAGGAGGTCGAGAGGCTCGGTGAGTACATCGAGCCCCTCCCAGGATCGAGCCTCGGGGGCTCAAACCGGAGTTACCCCAGGCCGCTGTTATCCTGGATTCTTCATTCGGGCGTCAAACTGCCCCGAAGGCATCAGGTCTGGGGGCAGTCGGGGGTAACTACAGATTCGCGCCTCGGGGACCCAAACCAGAGTTACCCTGGACCGCATCTAGCCTGGATGCTTAGGGCGTCCAACAGTCATCAGGGAAACGGGAGACTCGAGTACGCCAGAACTCGAGCTTGCCAGCCCTTTCTTTCACGAGCGCGTCCTGGATTCTGACAGCCCGGCTTGCGTCGGGAGCTCGCGTCAGACCCCGTCAGGCCAACCCGAGTCCCCCGCCGCCGGAGAGATGCTTGTTATGTCACTGCTCCGCCGCTTGGAGAGCGTTCTTGTTACCCTCTGGGCCATAACGCGCGTTACGCCACCTCCCCTTCCCCCCTCTCCCGTCCACTCCCCACAACGTAGCGCTCCCCCCCTCGGTGCGTCCCCGGCACTGCCCCAGTGCGTCTGGCCTGGGGGGGGGAGGAGGCTCTACGTTATGCCCCCTCCCCTCCCTCCGGTCCCCTCCCCCCCATAACGCCCCTTATGGCCGCGAATGCAAAATGCGTTCTTGGCGGCCGGCCTTCAACATCAAACGTACCAGAGGAGGAGGAGGAGGAGGAGGAGGAGGAGGAGGAGGAGGAGGAGGAGGAGGAGGAGGAGCAGGAGGAGCAGGAGGAGGAGGAGGAGGAGGAGGAGGAGGAGGGAGGAGGAGGAGGGAGGGGGGGTCGACCACGAAAAACGATGAGGGTAAACATGGGCTCTGCGGATTCCTTGGATCTGTGTTGGACTCTCCTGGCGGCGCTTCTGGCGCAGCCCCTGGCGTGCTCCGCGCGCCAGGGACGGGGACGCAGCGCCGCTCGAGAGATCCGCACGGACCTCCGAGACATTCTCTTCATGCATCTATTTGTGATCGATGTCTTATTCATTGTTGTGCCTATCGGCGCGCGGTGGCGCGGGCCCTCGCACACATCCCAGGGCTGGACCTACACGGTGCTTTGGCGTTTTCGTGGGCCGTTTTCGGTTCGACTTCGTTTTGCGGTAAAGGCGGAGTGAAGATAAAGCGAGGGAAAACGAAAACGAAACGAAAACGAAAACACCGTTTTAGGTTCAGCCTTGTCACATCCCCCTCCCCCTCCCCCCATGGAGGCTCCCCCACAGGACGCTTTGCTGCAACCAGTCGCACTTGAACAAAGGTCCAGAGCCGGACACCCCCCCTCCCGCCCGCCCCGCCCCCGCCCCTTCCGCCCAGTGTCGAAACGCCGAACAAAAAGCACACGTTCCTCATTTCGTCTTTTGGAGGGCGAGGGAGGGGGGAACGCAGAAGAGGGGGGAGGAGCTGATCAACGCCATAGACTTCCACGACGTCGTCATCGTGCAAGGCAGCGTCTGCTCCCTCTCGCTGCGGCCCCCCCCATCCCCGCGGCCCCCACCGCCTGCCCCCAGCGTTGCCCCCTTCTCCTCTGCCCCTCCTCGCCTCCTGGCTGCACGCTGCCCCTCGTGCCCCGCGCGCGTCGGCGAACCCCGAGGCCCTCGAACCGCCGCTCCCGTGCCCTGCGTGCGAGCCTCCTCGCGCAGAAGGGCCCCCGCGCGCCCGCGCAGCGCCCCGTGCGCTGCAGTGCGGCTCTGCCCCGGCTCTGGGCCCCTCCGCCGCCTCTCCGCTCTCGGGCCGCGCCGCGCCCTCTATCGCTCGCCGTCGGCGCGCACCGGAGGGCCGCCCCTACGGGCGAGTCTGGGCACGAGAGCAGGGTGCAGGAGGAGGTGGACCCTCCTCCTGCACCCTCCTCCCTCCTCCCTCCTCTCTCCTCCTCCACTATTGTTCCCTCCCTCCTCCCTCCTCCCTCCTCTCTCCTCTCTCCTCCTCCTCCTCCTCCTCCTCCTCCTCCTCCTCCTCCTCCTGGGGTCAATGCAGACGGGGGTCAGCCGGGGCACCGGATCCTGCAGGATCTTCGGCGAAGACCCCCTTTTGGCTGACCCGGCTTCGCGAGCCGCTCGTGGCCGCGAGGCGGCCGCGCATATTGGCTGCCTCAGGGGGTCAATGCAGACGGGGGTCAGCCGGGGCACCGGATCCTGCAGGATCTTCGGCGAAGACCCCCTTTTGGCTGACCCGGCTTCGCGAGCCGCTCGTGGCCGCGAGGCGGCCGCGCATATTGGCTGCCTCAGGTCTGCGAAGACCTGCATTGCAGATTTTTTGTTTGTTGTCCTGCATTGCAGTTTTCCGGTTTCCTGGCAACCCGGGTCTGGATTGACCCGGGTCAGAAGATCCGCGAGCGAGCCCCTGCCTTCGACCGGCGCGGCCGTGTTGGCAAGGGGGAGGCTTTCGTCGGTATCGACGTCTCGAGCCCCGCCGGAGTTCCGCGAGGGTTTTTTGGATCGGGGCGCACGCTGCGAGCGCCGGAGGCGACGACATGGGGGTCCCAGCCCCGAGCCCAGCAAGAGCGCGTGGATTTCCAACAGATTATGTGTGAGGCGTTTCTCCTCCGAGAGTCGAATCGATCGGGTCGAGACGAGCCGTGCTCTCACCACCTCGGTGCGGGATGTGCCCGTCGAAACCCGAAGAGAGCAGCCGTTATATCCCCATCAGGGGGGTGGGTCGGCCAGTGGGGGGGCCCAGCCCACGCTCCGGGGAGGGGGGTCGATTTCATCGACGCTCAGGTTTAGGGCATCCAGGAGGGGAAAAACACACACACACAATCGTCGATCCCCAGGAAAGTATGGGAAGATATGGGAAGTGGGGGTGAAGACGAAGACTCAGAAAATATAGGAAGCTATGGGGAGTCCTGGTATCTTTGTGTATTCATTTGTGTGTCCCAGGGCCCCTTCACCCATCCCTGCACGTGCACCGAGCTCCTCGGCCGACCAGCTGACACTTGGCGCGGTTGCTTCGAGCCCCTCTCTGACAAGCGGAGAGCACACGCCCATGCCCAGAAGGGAGCCAGGGGGGGCAGACGGGGGCCATGCGTGCGCGTCGTCGGCTGGAGAGCCCCGCGCAAACGGGGGCTTCCCTGGCGGCCCGACGACCCGCGCGCGTGCACACTGCCGCTCCTCCCTCCCTCCCACCCCCCCCTGTGGGCCTGGGTCTGTGCGCATCGCTCGCTCGGCACTCCCGGGATCCATCCGACGCACCCTCCGAGCCGGCCTGCGCTGCCGGCCGATCCCGCCCGCGGTGCCAAGGCCAACCGCTGGAATGGGGGGGGGGGGGGGCCGCCTGCAGGCGCCACGGGGTCCGGCAAGACCACGCAGCTGCCCCAGTTCGTGCTGGAGGCACGAGCGTCCTTTGTGTGAGCATACTCGGCGGCGGCCGAGGGGGGGAGGCGAGAAAAGGATCGGGCCTTGTCAGAGGGCGGCGGCGTGTCTCAGCAACCGTCGCGTGCTCCCTGAAGTTTCCAGTGTCTTCGGGGATAGCCTTGGAACCTTTTCAGTGGCCCCTGGGGGGGCTTCCGAGCCTTCTGAGAAGGCCCGCTCCTTCGCACTCCCCTCCCGGCGCGCCGCCGACATTGAGAATGATGAGATGGCGTCAGAGGAACACGAAGCTAAACATTTTTATTTGGATTTCCAGGTTACAATCGGCCCGACGTATAAGATCAAGGTCGGCTGGGGAAGGGTACCCTGATGCTGTTCGTGTTCGTCGGAGCATGAAACCATCTCGTCTGAAGAATATACATTTGCAAAACACCATGCTCGAAGGTCCGTGCTGATCTCTTGGATATGCGCTGGACCCTTTCTGGCGTCGCCTGCGGCGCCGCCCCCAGCGCGCTCCGCGCGCCAGGGCGGGGGTCCCAGCACCCAGCACCGACCAATTTCACGCGGACCTCCGCAAGTAACCCCCGTGCGGGCGATAATAACGTACTCCCGGACGTTCTTATCCCCCCGCCGGACCCCCGAACTTTCTTCCCCCCCCCAGGGGGATTCTTATCGCCCGCGCGAGAGGGTATCGTTTTGGCCGCGAGGCCTGGAGTCTGTGTGCCCAGGGCGCGCGCCGCCTTGGCCGCCCTCGGCCCCCCCAGGGGCGGGCGGGGGGGCTTCTCGCTCTCGCGCATTTCTGGGGGGCGGCGATCGTGCCCCTCTGGCTAGCAGCCATTTCGGGGCGCACGGCCGCCCCTCACACTCGACGCCCAAACTCGCACTGCATGCTCGCACTTCGCACTCGAGGCCCCCGAGAGGGCTCAGGAGGCCCCCCAAAACTGCCCAACAGGCCCCCCAGGGCTGCCCTAAAAGGAGGGCCAAGAGGATGAACCCGAACGGACACGTCGATGCTCCCACCCTGAGATGGCCCCGAGAGCGCCCCTCGAGGAGCGTGAGGCGCCCCACGACAGGCCCCACGACAGGCCCTCGAGGAGACCCCAGAGGCCCCCAGGAGCTGTGCGCCCACACTCGCACTTCATACTCGCACCCCGCACTCGCACCCACACTCACCCCCCATGCTTTACGCCCAGACGACACGAACGCGAGACGCGGGTCAACTCGGCGCACTAAATCGGGGACGCCCACCCCACGGTCAATTCGTACTTCGCACTCGAGGAGTCAGCTCGGACAACCAACTCGCGAAATCCAGTCGGCACCTCCAATCGCGAAGCCAAGGCGTCAAATCCACTTGGCACATCAATTTGCGAACTCAGCTCGGCAGGGCACCCCGCGAAATCAACTCGGCAAATCAACTCTGCAAATCAATTCTGTAAATAAAATCGGCAAATCAAAACGGGAAACCAACTCGGCAAACCAATTCGGGAAATCAATCCGGGAAATCAAGTTCTCGCATTGAGGCGGAAAAGCAGCCCCTCTGGAAGGGGTTGAGAAGCCCAGGCGTTTTATTGTTGTGGAGGGCGAACAATGGAGAGGAAGCGTGCTGCTAAATAATTTCCAGATGTCTAAACCATGCGTTAAACATGGTTTAAACGTAAACACATGTTTAAACAAACATGTTTAGAACATTTGACCGACATCTTAAACAAATTTCAAATTCAATGATAGGACTGTCAGGGTGTCCATTGTCGTAGCATCCACAACTTTACTGCTTGAACCGATTCAGGTGCGACTCATGAGATTTGACATTCGCATTCAGCATCGGCGCTGGCAGATCCACCATCGAAATCGCGCCCATGATCGAAGGCGCACCTAACAATCCTGCCTCGTCCCGTTCCGATTCTGCTCCGTCCCCCGCTTGCTGCGGCTCAGTCGGGCTTAGTCCTGGGCTGACTCCGACCTAGTCCGGCCCAGTGGTCCCTGGACTATATGGCTCGATCGCCCCCTCCAGTCTTCACGAAGGCCTCTCGGGAGCTGCCTCCTCGGAGCCGATCACGACGTCGCTGTCTTCGGGTGGGGCCGCGGGCGCCCGAGCGGCGCCGCGGGGGCAGCGCAGAGAGGAGGGCAGCGGAAGTCCGGGGGCCCCAGGGCCGTGCAGTGACTGGAGCAGGTCCCGCGGGGAGCTCGCAGGGCGGTCCGTCGCTGGGCCCTCCCGGGACCTCCGCGTTTCTCAGACACCCGAAGCCGTGTGTCTTCTTGCTTTTCCCCTCCCAGTGTGCGGCCTCAGATGTCCGGACCCCTTCACTGTGGGTAGCTTGCGTCCCAGATCAAGTTCTCTCTTAATTTTCAGCAGCCGCTGACCAGACCCAGAGTCCGAAATCGAGGAAAGGACGTCCAGACCGAAAAGTCATGTCGTCGGAGAGATGGGCTCCCGGCGCTGAAGACATTCTGGGCGGCGGTCCCCGAACCGCCACTTCTCCTGGATGCACTCGGCGGCGCGCACAAGGGGTTGGGGCGAGGGAGGTGGCCTTTGATCAGGCAGGGTGTTTGTTTCTCGGAATGGATCGGCGGTTCCTCTCATCGGACGGGGCTAGGACGAGGATAAAAATCCGTTCCGGAGCGTTCGGGGACGTTCTCAGAGCGTTCTGGAACGCTCTGAAAGGCCGCGGCGCAGGATACAGTTTCCAGGACCGCTGGATCTTCGAGATTCTCGATTCAGCTCCACCCGAAAATGTCCTCGTCATGGTTTCGTCCTACCTCGTGGCTCGGCAGAGCCGTGTGGGCCCTCCGAGCAACCATCCGTCTGTCTCCTCGGATGCCCGCCCCGTCCCCATTCGGCGCCCCGCCACCGTCTGTGTGCGTGCGTGCGTGCGTGCGTGCGTGCGTGCGTGTGTGTGTGAGAGAGAGAGAGAGTGCGTGCGTGCGTGCGTGCGTGCGTGCGTGCGTGTGTGTGTGTGTGTGTGTTTGTGTGTGTGTGTGTGTGTGTGTGTGTGTGTGTGTGTGTGGAGGGCTCGGCCTTTAGACGCGCGCGCGCGCCCGCCTCTCCGACCTTGCTACGCCCTGTCACTGCGCGCGGGGCCGCGACGCCACAATAAATCGATATATTGAATCGCTTCGCTCATTCCGCCGGCCCGTATTGTGCCATCGCGGGGTCTTGGGGGGTCTTGGGAGCCCTTGGAATCTTCGTGGGAGCTTCTTGGGAACTTTGGGAGGCCTCGTGGATGGCTCTGGGTGGGCCCTCTTGGTGGTCTCTTGGGGGGGTCTGCCTGGCCTCTTGGGGGCCTCCTGGGAGCTTCCTGGGGTTCTCTTGGGGGCCTCTTGGGGCTTTCTTGCGGCCTAATGGGGGCCTCTTGGGGCTCTCTTGGGGGCTTCGTGGGGCTACTTGGGGGCTTGTAGGGGCATTTCGGGGGCGTGTTTGGTCGGGAGGCTCAAAATTTCCGTTCAGGTTGCCCCTGTGGACCTCAATCATGGGGCCGTCTTGGGGCCTCTTGGACCGTCTTGAGGGTTTCTTGGGCCTTCTTGGAGCGCTCTTGGGCCGTCTTTGAGCGGTCTTGAGGGTCTCTCGGGCCGTCTTGGGGTGATCTTGGGGGCCTCTTGGACCGCCTTGAAAGGTGTGAAAGACGAAGAGGCGGATATGTTAAAAATGCACGTTTTCCTAAGGGAATGAGACGATTTTTGCTTGTGGGAGCCCTCTTGGGGCGCCGCTTAGGGACCTCTTGGGGCGTCTTGAAGGCCTGTTGGGCCGTCTTGAGGCCATCGTAGGCGCTTGGGGGTGATATTTCGGCGTCTCCCGGCTCTCTTGGACCGTCTGGAGGGCTTCTCGGGCCCCTCTTGGACCGATTTGGAGCCCTCCTGGGCTCCGAAAAAGAGTTCTTGAGGGTTTCTTGGGCCTTCTTGGAGCGCTCTTGGGCCGTCTTTGAGCGGTCTAGAGGGTCTCTCGGGCCGTCTTGGGGTGATCTTGGGGGCCTCTTGGACCGCCTTGAAAGGTGTGAAAGACGAAGAGGCGGATATGTTAAAATGCACGTTTTCCCAAGGGAATGGGACGATTTTTGCTAGTGGGAGCCCTCTTGGGACGCCGTTAGGGACCTCTTAGGGACCTCTTGGGGCGTCTTGAAGGCCTGTTGGGCCGTCTTGAGGCCATCGTAGGCGTTTGGGAGTGATATTTTGGCGTCTCCCGGCTCTCTTGGACCGTCTGGAGGGCTTCTCGGGCCCCTCTTGGACCGATTTGGAGCCCTCCTGGGCTCCGAAAAAGAGTTCTTGAGGGTTTCTTGGGCCTTCTTGGAGCGCTCTTGGGCCGTCTTTGAGCGGTCTTGAGGGTCTCTCGGGCCGTCTTGGGGTGATCTTGGGGGCCTCTTGGACCGCCTTGAAAGGTGTGAAAGACGAAGAGGCGGATATGTTAAAAATGCACGTTTTCCGAAGGGAATGAGACGATTTTTGCTTGTGGGAGCCCTCTTGGGGCGCCGCTTAGGGACCTCTTGGGGCGTCTTGAAGGCCTGTTGGGCCGTCTTGAGGCCATCGCAGGCGTTTGGGAGTGATATTTCGGCGTCTCCCGGCTCTCTTGGACCGTCTGGAGGGCTTCTCGGGTTTGCCGGGACCTTGCCAGGACCTTGCCGGGACCTTGCCGGGACCTTGCTGGGACCTTGCCAGGACCTTGCCGGGACCTTGCCGGGATCTTGCAGGGGTACTTTTCGTCCGGGGACCCCCAGGGCCCGCCCCGCGCGCGCGATCTAGAAATATGGTTGAGCAGTTACCGGAGATCTTAGCACGCCTCTGGCCCGTTGGGCCGGCGAATATATACATATATATATATAGATAATATATGTGTGTATGTGTGTGTGTGTGTGTGTGTGTGTGTGTGTGTGTGTCTGTGTGTCTGTGTCTGTGTGTATGTGTGTGTGGTGGGTGTGCGGGCGGGTGGGTGGTGGGTGGGGCGTGTGTGCTCACATGACTGCTCCCAGAACGCAAGGAAGCGCTTCGGGGCCGCTGAATACTGGGCCGGAGAGTGTGGTTCTTGCTCTTGGTATCCAGCCTTCTGCCCATCCCGCCACCGTGCCTGAGTAGTGGACAAGAGACAAGAGGCCTCTTCGGGAGGCCATGTGTGGTCTCGCAGGACGCCTCTCGGACGGCCCTTGTTCGGCCCCTGTGCGGCGTCTTGCCCAGAATGCGCAATGGGTCAAAATCACTACGGAGTGACGAAGGAATTGCGAGGTGTGCCCCTGCCGCCAGGCCGCCCTGGCGCGGGGCGAGCCCGTCAACATACTGGTGACCGAGCCCAGGCGCCTGTCCGCCATGACGGTCGCGCGGCGCGTGTCGCAGGACGCGTTGCCTCGCGCCCCTGCGCGAACCACTTGCGAGCCTCGGGGGGGGGGGAAGCGAGCAGGGGCAATCGGCGGCCCATCGGAGGCCTATCGCTGATCTATCGAAGATGCATCGCCGATTCCTCAGAGGAGGAGAGGATATCCGTTTTGCTGCCCTTCGCCCGTTTTCCCCTTGTTCGGACTCCTGGGAGGCCTTCTCGTCACCACCGCCGGATTTCCTCTGAGATGCTAGTCAGACATTTGGCGGGGAGTAGCGGTATCGGTACCTTTTGGCTTCCCCGATGCCAGGCCGACATTTGCCTCGTATGCCAGTCCCCCCCCTATAGTTGCCTCTCAGGAGTGGGACTGGGGCAGGCCTCCTCGGAAGGTGGCGGGGCTTCTCAGACGTTCTCGCGCCCTCTGAGAGGCCGCTGGCGTCTTCGGAGAAGGCCCAGAGAGGTGCTCCGAAGGCCGGAGTTCTTTTGCGGCTTCTGGCAGCCCCGCGCCTGCTGCTTGCCCCCCTTGTGCTCGCCGCCAGGCGAGGGCGCGGTGGTGCCGTCTTATGCTCGCTCGGGGCCCTCCCTGGGGCCAGCCTCGCGGGTCCGTGTGATTCTGGCTCGGACGTGCTGCGGCTCTGGTTCGGCTCCATCTCGACTCCAGCTCGGCCCAGGCTCGACGCCAGCGCGGCCCCACTGCGGCGGACGCTCGGCGCAGCAGGGGCGCACGAGTGGAGCAAGGGGTCCCTGTAGGGTCCCTCGGCCTTCCCTCCCGCAGCGCTCGTAGACCCTCGAGTCTGGGGGTCCGCAGACCCGCCACCTCCGCCTTCCATGCCTTCCGACCTCCGCGGAAGGTGCGTCAGGAATCATCGAACCTCGTGGGCTCCTCACGCCATGTGCGGAAACCCGCATCGATCATGTCGAGAGAGGGGTGGGAGGTTAGGGCGGAAGGCCCGGAAGAGTGAGGGGGTTTGGGGAACCAACAGGGTGGCGCCGAGAGGCTGTGTCCTCGTAGTGCTGCACCTCCATGAGGGGCCGCTGTTTACCAGCCTCGAACGTATCCCTATCCCTAAGATTGACACGCCAAAAGGCGATGACAATCTTAGGGATGCGCCCTCAAAGAGTAAGGGGATCCCTAATATTGGCATCGTGATGAGGAGGTGCCCAGCATAGGGATAGGGATATGTTCCAGGCTGGTAATGTCTGGCCCTGGGGCCGCCACAACAGCGAGCCCGCCCCCAGGAAAGGGTCGAGATCCCAGGGGCCCAGACCACGGTCAAAAGTGGGCGCCCTCTCGGGGGAGAGGGGGGGGGCGCCGCCGACGGCCGACGCACGGCGGCAGCGACGGAGGAGGCGAGCCGCTGCGAGGCAGGCTGGAGGGCCAGCGGCGGGCCAGCCCCGCGTGCCGAGGCCGCCCCTGCGCGCGCCCCTCGGCGTGCGGCCTGCGCTGCGCTGCGTCGCCACCGCCCGCGCCTTTTCGCCCTGGCCGCCCTCGCCGCCGCCGCCGCCGCCGCCGTCGGCCGTCGCCGCCGTGTGGCGCCGGGGGCTCGTGGCCTCGGCGGCGGGGGGGCGAGGGGATGCGCCGCCCGAGGCCGTGCCGCAGACCCCGGCTTGGAGTCCTCGTCGCGCTCTGCGCCGGGCGACGCTGCAGCCGAGGGGCTGCAAGGAGGGCTATAGAGTTTGGGCGTTGACCCAGGGGACCCTATAGACGGGGAACGAGGCCCCTCTGTTCCTTACTGTCCACTTCGATGTCCCACCGCAAGCCTAAGGAAACCACAGGCTAAGTGTAAAGCAACTGATGATCTTTGAGCCCCTCCCAAGCGAAAAGAGTTCCTCCCTCAGCACCCCGACTGTACAGTTAACCCGCATAGTGAGGATGGGCAGCCTTCCCAAGGGTATCCTTGCATCCTTGCCTCCTCGGCCCATCCTTGGCCACTTTCGTTGGCCGCGCCCCGATCGAAAAGCTTCGAGACGGCCTTCCAAGGCCCGTGCACACCTATCGCGCGTCCTTGTGATACGGGTCGACTGTACTTGGAGCGGAGGGTGGGGCTCTGGCCTCGAGGCCATTCCTTCGCCTGGCATCGCTTGGACGTGTGCATTTTCTCTCGGCGGGAACCATTGAGAGGACGATCCTGGACCATCGAGCAAAAACAACACGCACGAAACCAAACAACGCACGAAAAGTGCACGGGGAAAATGCAGAACAATGCACGAAACATGCACGGGAAATGCGGAGGGTGGGGCTCTGGCTTCGAGGCCGTTCCTTCGGCCCCTGCCGGGGAAATTGTGGCGCGTGGCCGCGGCTCGCCGTGGCCGGCGGAGCCCCTGCCTTCCTATGCGCAGCGCTCCTGGTTGGGGCAGGCCCAGTCGGAGCTATCTCTCTCACTTCTCCTCCTCCTCCTCCTCCTCCTCCTCCTCCTCCTCCTTCCCCTCTACCCCCTCCTCTCTCCTCCTCCTCCTCCTCCTCCTCCTCCTTCCCCTCCTCCCTCTCCTGCTCCTCCTCCTCCCCCTCCTCCTCCTCCTCCTCCTCCTCCTCCTCCTCCTCCTCATCCCTCTCCTCCTCCGGGATCAGGAGGCCCCATCGGCTCCACCCGGTGAGTCTCCAGCCGGACCTGGCCTCCCCGCAGGCGGCACGAAGTGCAATTGGAGCAAGGCGAACGTCTTCTTGTGCCTTGTTTGGCCGATCGGCGCGGGCCCTCGCCCCCCCCTCCATGCAGCAGATCTTGGCTGTTTTGTGGCGTCTGTTTCAAGCAGTTGGAGGCTCCCCCATAGGACGAACGGTTGTAAACTGTCGCGCTAAGCTGAGGTCCAGATCCAGACCCCCCCTCCCCCCCCTTCCGCCCAATGTTGAAACGCCGAATAGGGAAACGTTCACTTGGACCAATTCCACTTGCAGCCAAGAGACTCCGTCTGGGTGTCCTCCAATTGGACTCAGATCCTCCTGAGAACAGCAGTTTTGCGTCGCGCCGACATGGTGGCGACCCTGGCGCGACCGTTCAAGGTTCGCCAGTGGTCCAGGACCGGCCGACATGGAATGTCCGTTCCCATTGGACGGTCGGCGTGTTCAAGGCATGGTTAACGATCCAGGCGCTGTCAGGAGCCGGCGCCGATGTTGTCGCGACGTGAACCTGCCGCACAGTGGAAACCCATGCCAAGATACACCCTGCTTGCCTCGAGGGTGCACTAGATTTCTGGGGTTTGGATGGTTTTGCTACGGGAAGCATGACGTGCCCACACAAAAGTCAATGGACGACCCAGGGTTCCAGGGTTGGATTCCATGTGGAAGGTTTCTTGCGGTCGAGTTTCTGCTGTATGATGGCCATGAGGTCCGGGTGTCGCAAGACAAGTCGCGACGACGGTTTTGTTCAAGACTTTCGGCTCTGGAGGTCGTTGCCCAGCCTCTGAGGACCGTGACTGAACCCTGGCACTAGCAGGGAAGGAAGCGCTGTATGCCCGGGGGCCCGCTCCACAGAGAATTCGCGACGTCGGAGGAGGTGGGACAGACAGGAGGGCGAACGCGCATGGCGGGAGCACGGTCCGCGATCCAGGTTTTGGGGGCCACATGCGAACCCTACCCCTACCCCCAACGATCTCTGAGGGGGAGGGTGGGGCTCACTTGGTTCGGGAGCTCCCGAGCGACATGAACCCCACCCTCCCCCTCAGAAATCGTGGAGGGTAGAGGTAGGGTTCGCATGCGGCCCCCTACGGGTAGAGATCGTTCGGCGCCTTCTGTTGTTTGTTCGGGCCTTCAGGTTCAGGGCACACCCCAACGCCCCCCCGCCCCTAGGAGGAGGGCCACGGAGGCACCCCGCGACAGGTGTCCCCCCATCCGTCCCTCTCCCTCCTGCAGAGGGACGGATATCGGTGTACAGCGGAGGCAGTCCACAAGAAACCTTCCAAAAGAATCCCAACCCTGAACCCCCAGGACGTCCATTGATTTTTGGTGTGGGAACGTCACGCTTTCCATCGCAACACCATCGAAACCCAGGTCACCCTGGAGGCAAGCAGGGGGTCTCTTGGCATGGGCCCGCACGGCAGCAACAACTTCTGGGGGCCCCCGTGGATCGGCGCAGGATCCCCCCCCTGGCCTTGGCGCGCTCCCGCGCGCAAGGGACACGCGGGCCCAGCGCCGACCCGAGACGTCCGCGCGGACCTCCAAGAGTCTGTGCCCAGGCAGACGTTCCCCAACCAGCGCTTGCACTGAAGGGGTCCTATAGGGGAAGTTGGAAGATTCGGCTGAAGTTTCCCGCCGATTCTGGTAGCAGGCTGGGTTCCCCGGTTCCCAGATCCGGGTTCCCGGGTTCCCGTGTTCCCGGTTATTGATTCCGGGCCGATTTCGATGGGTTCTGGGTTCCGGGGCTTCCGGGTTCCCGGTCGATCTCTTCAGCGAAAACCATCCCTTGATTGGCTGTTCCTGTGGTGCAATTTTTCCAGCACGCCACCCCGCGGCCCGCGCGTCGGGCGCTGCGTCGGGAGCTGGGCGCCGTGCTCGTCCGCCGCGCAGCGCCGCGGCCCTCGGCCTGGCCGGGGCCGGGGGCGCGCCGGCGAGGCCCGCGCCCCGATGCCGCGCCGCCGCCCGCCGCCCGCCGCGCGCCGCGCGCGGCCCGCCGCCGGCGGCCGCCTGCCGCCCGTGCTGGCCCGCCCGCCAGCCCCCTCCGGCCTGCCCGCCGCCCGCCGCCCGCTGCCTGCCGCCCGCGCCGCGCCGCCCCGCCCCGCCCCTCGGGCCTCGGGCCTCCGCCCCGCCGCGCGGCGGCCTGCGGGGCGGGCGCCGCGTGCCGCGGCCCTGCCCTCGGGCGCCTGGCGCCGCCCGCGCCCGCCGCCCGCCGGCCGCCGCGGCGGCCCGCGGCGCAGAGGGCGTGGGCCTGCCACGAGGCAGGCGGGGCCCTGGTCGGCGGCGAGCGCGGGGGGAAGCGAGGAGGGGGGGGCCCGCTCAGGAGGCGGGGGGGCCTCTCGGAGGCCCTCGCGCCTCACTGAGAAGCTTTCTGCGCCTTCGGGGAAGGCTGGGAGCACGTTTCAGAAGGCCAGGGGGACTTCCGAGCCTTCTGAGAAGGCCCGCCCCGTCTCACTTCCCCCCTCGCTCGCCGCCGACAAAGAACTGGGGCCCGATCATTGTGCTTGGTCGCTGTTTCGCCTCTCGGGGCCCTCCCCGTGCACGCCCTGGGACTGTCAAGAAGCGGCCCAGGGCGGATAAGCTGGTCCTGGAGCAAGTCCTGGGGTCCAGGACCCCTTTGCCTCAGGACCCGTTCGCTTCATGCCGAAGGGGCATCGCGTCTGCGGTTCGGTCGGGCTCGGCCGCGTCGCAGTCGGTGTTGCGTCCAGTCGGTCTGGTGTGCCGTTGCCGTGCCCAAGGCCCTCTGTTTAGCCAGCCCCGCGGCGCGGCCTGTCTCGGGCGGGGCCAGGACCGTGGTGAACGTTTCGGAAGGCTCGCAGAGCGTTCCAGAGCGCTCTGGAACGTCCGCGCCGCCCGATGCGTCTTGAGGACCGCCAGATCTCCGAGATCCGGCGGCGAGCCTGGGGGGGAGGAGTGAGACGGGGCGGGCCTTCTCAGAAGGCTCGGAAGCCCCCCGGCCTTCTGAGACGCCCGAAGACACAAAACTGTTCAGAAGGTCAGATTGCTTCGGAGAAGCCCCGCCGCCCTCTGAGGAGGCCTTCTCCTCCTCACTTCCCCCCCTAGCTCGCCGCCGAGATGGTCCGATGGATTTGTTTTTCGTGTTCTGGGCCAGCCTTCCTTGGCGAGCCGTTGTCGTCGCGCGCTGCGCCTTCCTTGGCAGACCCCGTTGCCGGGGCGACTGGGGGCCTCCCCTGGGGCTTCTATGCAGTCAACCCGCATAAGAAGGATGGGCAACCTTCCCAAGGGCACCCTTGCATCCTTGCCTCCTCGGTCCATCCTTTGCTGCTTTCGCTGGCCGCGATCCGCTCGAAAAGCTTCGGAATGGGCGTCCAAGGTCCTTGCATCCTTATCGCGCATCCTTACTATACTGGTTGACTGTACGACCACGCTGCTTTTGTGTTCGGTTGGGGGCTCGGCCCCTTTCTGTTCCTTCTTGCACCGGCCCGCGCGGACGCGAGCTTCCCGTCTCTCTCTCTCTCTCTCTCTATATATATATATATACCCTCGCCGCCGACCGACCGACCCCCCCCCCTTTGCCACCATCCAAGGTCAGCCTCGGTCCTTCGCTGTCGATTCCTGGGGCGGGGGTCGGGGGAGGAGGAGGAGGAGGAGGAGGAGGAGGAAGAGGAGGAGGAAGAGGAGGAGGAGGAGGAGGAGGAGGAGGAGAGGAGAGGCGGAGGCGGAGGCGGGCGGAGGCGGAGGAGGAGGAGAGAGGAGGAGGAGGGGGAGGAGGAGGCGGAGGCTAAGGCGGAGGCGGAGCGGAGAGGCGGAGGCGGGAGGAGGAGGAGAGGAGGAAGGAGAAGAGAAAGAGGAGGAGGAGGAGGAGGATAGGAGGAGGAGGATGAAGAGGAGGAGGAGGATAGGAGGAGGATCGGAGGAGGATAGGAGGAGGATGGAGGAGGAGGAGGAGGAGGAGGAGGAGGAGGAGGCGGATTGGAGGAGGATTGGAGGAGGATTGGAGGAGGAGGAAGAGGAGGAGGAGGATGCATACGCGGCACGCCGCCTGCCCCCGTGGGGCAGGAGCTCGGCGACCCGGGCAAGGGGCCGGGCGGCCACGACAGCCTCACGGGCTTCCACATCCGCATGGAGAAGTCGCGCCCGCCCCGCCCCCCTCTCGGGGCCGGACGAAAGAGGGAGATTGGGAAAGGGGGGTTTACGAATTCTGCTGCGTGCAGCTGGCTTCGGCCCCGCCGCTGGGCCCATTCCTCGATACAGGGGCGCCTCCCGGCGCCGGGAGGCGCTGGGAGAATCAGTTACGTGGGCTGATTCTTAAACCCCCCCCTTTGCAATCCCCCCCTTTCGCCCGGCCCGACCTTCGAGCAGTGGCGAAGCGTCTCGGGCCCACAGTCGGCACGAACGAAATGGGCTCGTAAACAATGGACTCCTAGATGGGGTCCGAGTAGATGAGGTCGGAGGATCGCACCGCATCGCCGATGCATCGACGATGCGGCTCGATGTGGAGCCCGACTTTCTCCACGCCGTTGTCGCCGACTTCGCCAGTGCATCGCCAATGCATTGCCCATGCATCGCCGATGCATCGGCGATGCAGCGATATCCTCCGACCCCATCTCCTCGGACCCCATCGAGGAGGCCTCTAGTTCTGGGCGTGTTGCTACTTTTCCCCACAAGGCCCAGGATTTGAGTTCGCTCGCTTTCGGGCCCAGGACCACCACAGGTCGATCTGGCTCGAAACGTGCCGCAGAACGATGGGGTCTCGGGCTCTGGTCGTGCTTTTATCTAGATTTTTTTTCGCAGCGTCGGATCTCAGGAAAGTGAGCTTTTCGGGGGGGAGGGAAGAGGAGAGGAGGGAGGGAGGGCCGCATCGTCACTTTTTGAGCCGGCGCTGCGTGGACTTTGGTGCCCCTTGCAGTGCCATGGGAAGCGGGGTGCGGCGGCCCTGGCACTCCTCGGTGGAAGCAGTGCAGCCAGCCACAGCCATCGGACTGCGAGGTCCGAAAACCGAGAGGCCGCACTGCGCGTCCCAGCGCGGCCCTGGAGAGCAGGGGGCAGCGCGGGCGCCCGAGCGCGGCGCGCACAGTTCACCGCCTGCCAAACCACCCCAGCCCAACCCCAGGGTTTCAATTTGCCCTCCACTTCGGGGGGGGGGGGGTCGGGGAACCATGAGCACAAAGCACATATGGAATCTGTATCCCCCCACCCCCTCCCCAGCCCGAAATTGGTGGTCTGGTAGGCCTTGGTATCGCTCGGACGTGTGCACTGTTTCTCGGCGGGGATTGTTAAGGAGCGCTCTGGATAATCCTACCAAGAAACCGCGCACGAAACCGGAAAAAAGCACAGGGAATGGGCGTCCGAGCGATGGCCAGAGGTGGTCAGCAGTGGGCTCGAGCAGGGAGAGCCCCACCGTGCGGCCACGCGCACCGGGCATCCCCCACCCCCAGTCCGGAGGAGGGCGGCCCCGGTTAAGCCACCCGCGGCCCTCCCTGGAGAGTTCTCGTCTTGCCTCGTTGGCGCTTCGCGGGAGGGCTTCCGCGGGTACAGAGCCGTGATGCTCCTACCTGCCTTAAGCCTTGTGGGAGTCGATGAATGGAGAGGGAGCAGTCTGCCAACTATTTTCCAGATGTCTAAAACATGTTTCGAACATGGTTTGAACATGTTACAAACATGTTTGAAACATAATTAGAACATGCATTACACATTTCAAACACATGTTTAATTCAATAATCGGATTATCAGAGTGTCCATTGTCATGGCATGCTCAACTTTAGCCTTGATCGCCAGGAAAAAAATCGAGCACCCAGAAAGTAGCGAAACTGCAGGGATTTCACGTGTCGGGCCCTGGGAGGCGATACTCGTTCGGCACTGCTTCGATACTTCTCTGGGTGCTCGAAGTTATTTCTGCGATGTGGTCCTTAAGCACGATGGGAGCAACATAATTATAAAGGTAAAGGGGACCACAGAAGAGCCCCACAGGGGGGACGGGGAGCTCTAGACCGCCCCGTCCAGCAGCCGTTTCGCCCGAGACGTCCTCACGATCTCTTCCAGAAGCGTGCTCTCCGGCTACGGGGAAGCTGGCAACATCTATGCGGGCTGGGCCCGGTTGTGTTCCTTGCCCTGGGCTTCCGGCTGTCTCTCCTCCGCCGGGCCACGCCAGACGAGAGCAAAGCTGGGGCGCCCCCTCGGAGAGATCAGCCCCCCGTGTCTTATTTCCAGGGCTCCGCACGCACCCGCGAAGGCCCTGCAGACTTCGTGTTCTGTGTCCATCCTCTTCCGTTTCCTCGTCTGGCCCATGCGGGGCGCCCAAAGGGGCCCCGCCGACGACGTGTCTTTGCGCGGTGGTGGCTAGGGCTGTTTGTTTTTTTTGCATTGGCTCGCGCGGGGTGTTCGCGCTGCACATTGCCATCATGGTGTCATGCCCATCGGGCCACTCTTTTCTGTTTTTTCCCAGATCAGAGCTTGCCTGTAGGGGTCCTAGCGGATTTGAGGGTACGTGCGCCGCCGATTCGGTGCCCGGGTGCCCGGGTGCCCGGGTGCCCGGGTGCCTGGGTTCGCCGCCGATTCGGTGGCCCCTGACCATCGGGCAACCACAGAAAACTAAGTTTAAGTTAAGTCTAAGTACTGCACCTTAACTTAGAATGAACTTACCTTAGTTTGTACTTATCTTACTTAGTTTGAACTTAACTTAGACTTAGAATTGAACTTAGATTGTACTTAAATCGTATTTAGTTTGTACATAGTTTCTGGCCTGGTATGGGTGTGGCGTTTCGCAGATAATTTCAATGACCACTTCTATCAGCGCTTGTTCAAAACCATGGCGCCCGTTGGTCCCCCCATGGCTTCCCCTAACTTCCCGACAGGGTCTCCCATGCGGTCTGGCAATAGGGTCCCCCATAGAATAGGGCCCCCCATATTCGGTCCCCATATTGTCCCCCACACGTAAGCCACATAGGGTTCCGCCCAGAAGGTCCCCCCATAAGGTATCCCCCATGGAGTCACCCTGTAGGGTCACCCCGTAAGGGTCACTCCCATAGGGCCCCTCCAATATATGGTCCCTCCCACAGGCTCTCCCCAGGGTCCCCCACAGAGTCGGTCCATCAAAGGGTCCCCCACAGAGTAGGGTTTCCCCATGGGGTCTCCCCCGTAGCCTTCCTGGCTCAAGCCGTTTCGGGCGCCCCGATCAAGCACTCAGTTGTGCGAGCAGATCTTCCCACGCACTTCGACCTGCCAGTGATGCCACCCAAGAAGCGTCCAGCGGCGGCAGGCGAGGCGGCTACTCAGAAGTTGAAACGTCCAGCAGCGTGGCACGACCACGACGACGACCAGGAGCCAGAGGTCGACGGGGCGGAGGAGCTTCCCGAGGACGAGGACGGCCCTGACGGTGTTGCGGATTCGCGCAGCACGACTCGCGCCCAGAGGCACATGTTCGCGAAGAACAAGCACCTTGTCGACCCAAAGATGGTGGAGAAGTTCAACGAACTAATGGACCCCAGCAAGAAAGTGGTTGGAAAACAAGCCAGAATCAACCAAATCATCAACGCCTGCGTCTCGAGGAAGGCCGAGGGCGGCAAGGGCGTGCTGGTCAAGGAGCGTTCCGTCCAGATGGTCCAGAAGAGCGTCATCCAGGACACCAGCACCGAGGCCGTGAAGGGCATGGGCTGGTACAGCCTGGTCGGAACCAAGTACAGTGCCAACGAAGAATTGGCCAAGCAGGCGTTGGCTGCTGGTGAAGTCCAGCGGAACCCCGAGACTGGCCTCTACTACCAGAAGGGCCACGCCGTGACGAGGAGCAGGATCAACGAGAAGGGCTTCGAGGGCAAGGAGGACATAGGTGGGATGTTGTCTACGCCTGAGTGCATCAAGGCGCTCCACGACCAGGAGGAGGTGCTCAGTTCGGAGCCGCTGGGCGTGTCGTGGATGAAGGCCGCCAAGCCCACCAAGAGGATCGCGGACGAGCCTGCTGGCGACGACGACGTCTCATGCAGGAGCCCCGCAGAACACAAACTTCTGGTACTACAATATAGCATGCGAATCCTCTTCTTACTCCTACTTACTCATACTATCCCACCCGTGGATCGCACTCCGACTTCCCATTCGAGTTCTCACGTGCTACCTTAATTTCGCTATGTTACCCTCCTCCCCAACTCCTGGCTTCTCTGCCGAATCATACTCGTACTCTGCTGATGTTGTAGATGTGTGGTAGATGTGTTGTAAGTTTGAAAATATACAACACATTTGCAACATCGAGGGTCTGAGCATAGTAAGGGTAGGAGTGCATGTAGGGGCAGGGGCAGGAGTTGGTGCTACCCCCAGGAGAGTTTCGACGCGGTGTCGAGGGTGACCTTGGCGCTGCGCCGTCTGGGCACGAAGATGGTGGCCGACTGCCAGTCCGAGACCACCAGGCAGATGTCTGCGCGTGCCATCAACCTCTGCAAGGCAATGGCAGCGCCCAGCGAGAAGGTCGAGAGCCTCCTCGTGACCCAGGGCTCCGACAAGGAGAGCGTCACGAAGCAGGAGGTCTCAGACGCTCTGAAGGAGATGAGCGCCCCGTGCAAGTGCATGGTGGAGCTGTGCAAGGAGATCGTGATCCAGGTGAAGAACGCATCGAAGAAGGGCGGCTCCAAGGTTGCCGATGCCGCGAAGGGCCTCAAGCCCATCAAGCCTTGAGGGGCTGCCTCTGGGAGATTTCGCTCCCCCAGGCGTGGCGCGACCGACAGGTCTCGCCAGGCAGCCCGACCGGGGCAAGAGCAGGGGGGGGTGCGGAGGTAGAGGATGGATGGAGAGACACAGGGTAACACGAAGGAGGGGGAGATACACTGGTCGAAGGAGGGAAGGGGGGAGACATGGGAGACCCCTGCCGCGCGCCCCGCGCGCGTCGGCTGACGCCGCGCCTGTTTCTGCCGAAGGCGGGGCGCTGTCCGAGCAGAGCTCGAGATGGATTTGCGAGTCTCGCTCGCAGCGGTTGGCCCAGGAAAACGATGACATTTCTGAAAACCATTACTCCGACGGTAGGGCCCCGCGTGATGCCAACAGTCATGGTGATAACAGTCATCGTGGTGCTCACAGTCATGGCATTGTGCCAACAAGCATCAGCGTTATTGTGTGTGGTTGCTGTGGTTGCAAAAGCAACCATGTG